ACACTCAGCCAGACCTCATTAGATAGCGATCTTGATGGATGTGTTTTCAGGCCTCTGCCAATTTGTAGTGATTGCAGCCTAGACGAAGGAACACTCAGCCAGACCACATTGGATAGCGATCTTGATGGATGTGTTTTCAGGCCTCTGCAAATTTGTAGTGATTGCAGCCTAGACGAAGGAACACTCAGCCAAACCTCATTAGATAGCGATCTTGATGGATGTGTTTTCAGGCCTCTGCAGATTTGTAGTGATTGCAGCCTAGATCAAGCATCAATCAGCGAGACCTCACTGAAGAGAAGACTTGATGAATCCAGCAACATGCCTGTTTCCATTTCCAGTGAATGCAGCCTAGATCAAGAAACACTCAGCCAGACCTCCCTGGATACACATCTTGATGAATCCACCTCTGGGGATCTTTCAGAATGCAGTCTTGCTAATCAACCAACACTCAGCCAGACGTCATTAGGCAGAGATTTAGATTCTACCATCTTCAGACCTATTTCTATGAGCAGTAAATACAGCCTGTCTGAAGTCATCAGCGAGACATCTGTTGATGAAGATTTCTGTGAATCTATCCTCATAGCTTATTCCTTTCAGCTGTAAATCTTGTTTCCAGACATCAGCCAGAATGAATAAAATGTTTTTAAATATCTTTGTTTATAGAGAATTTTATGTCTTAACAAATTATAACAGCAGAAAAACACATTGCTATGTATTTATATAAATAAACAAGACTACAAAATTGGGAATTTTGTTTGTGAATTATTTGTATTGGCATGTTTGGAATGAAGACCACTGACCAACCCTTTCAACATTTCTAAATGCTGTTCTGACATTTCTATAATATGGGCCGGTTTCCACACTTCAGGGTACTTTTGGACTTCTACACCCAGATTTCGTGCATTACTTACTTCCAGGGTAACATTGAACTTTGCAGGAACTTTCCTGCCATGAACCTTGGTTTCAACTGAGATAATATTTTCACATTAGACCAAAATATAATTCAGGTGTCTTAGCTCCAGCAACAATAATCCAACATCAAGCTCCAGCCTAAACCCATGTTCTTTGGTGACCCCTCAATGGATGTTTCACGAACTCCATGTGAGCTCCATGTGGCTGTCCTCCAACAGTGATCTGGCTGTAGCCAAAACTTTACCTCTTTTACTGACTCTTTTACTGCTCTATTCTTTTCAGAAACTCCCAAACAGTCATCTGCTCTTCCAAATACAATCCATTCACCAATCAAAATATAACAAATATTTCAGGTTTTCCAGCTGTGTCAATTTATTAACTCCTGTTAAAATCCTCTCTTCACTACTGTGACTTCTCAACTCATTTCACTTTTGATCAAGACTGGCACCACACCTGTTCAGAACTGACTTGCTTAGTTTTATTTACCATTTATGCATTTCATGTAATAGTATAAAATGTATTTGAGCATTGTTTCTTTGCATTTTTATGTTTGTGTCTGGCAAAGAATTATGCAAAGGATTGCAAAACCACTGCCCAGGCCAAAGTGAGGTTTTGTGCACTTTTTCTCCCTAATTTTCATCAGTAGGCAGTCGAATACCTTCACCTTCTGTGTATTCTCAAGAGCATGTTTCTTAATCAAGTTGATGGCATCAGTTGCAATGTACAGGATAACTTGACATCACTTTCAAAAGACGATATGCCAATGTCATCACATTTTCTACTGTCCACAATTACCTCTCCTTTAAAAGGCTTAGGCATACAAAAACATGAATACTCCTGGCTATTCTTCTCTTTCTACATTCTTTGTGTAGAAGTCAGATTGTGACAATTCTACATCCTACTTCCCTCAAATTTCATGACATGCAACTAGAATTTAAATATTCTATCCAGGGCAGTTACTATTTGCCTATTTTACAAATTGGATGGTGGGCTCGAACCACATGGCCAGGACATGGCAGTACCTGTTGCTGAAGGGCACCAGTCTTGATGACCCAAGAAGCTGTTGTTGGTGCAAGGTGGAAAGACATGGAAGGACACGGGACACAGTAATAGATGGTGGGTGCCAGCTACATGGCCAGGACATGGCAGTACCTGTTGCTGAAGGGCACCAGTCTGGATGGACCCAAGAAGCTGTTGTTGGTTCAAAGTGGAATGAAGTGGAAGGACACACACACAATAATAGATGGTGGGCTCGAACCACATGGCCAGGACATGACAGTACTTGTTTTGCTGAAGGGCTCCAGTCTGGATGTACCCAAGAAGCTATTGTTAGTGCAAAGTGGAACGAAGTGGATGGATCTCGACACAGTCCCAGTTGGCAGGTGCCAGCTACATGGCCAGGACATGGTCACATACTTGTTGCTGAAGGGAACCAGTCTGGATGAATCCAAGATGTTATTCTTGGTACAAAGTGGAATGAAGTGGATGGACCAGAACACAATCCCAATCACTTCATCTCATCTGATGTAAGAATTATCATTTCCATAATGCTGCCTAATTGCTACTGCCATGATGCCAAGCACGAAGGAACAGATATAACATTAGCAGAACATTAACAATAGGCTAGACAACAGCATAGATCTTGGTACAGGACAGGACGTGATAACCTGGGAGTATGTCCACCTCAGAAAAAAATTACTATTTTTCAGACAATTTGATGTCATACAATATGCAGGTGGCAAAGGCAAGTTATTTTCCGTGCTTTAGGCAAGCTGGACGGTTATGCTGTTTCTGCATTTTGCATGGGTGTGCTTGTTCGTTATCACTTTAGAGCTGTCTGTGCTAGTTCCTTTTCGACTAAAACCTAATCATGGTTACCAGGTGCCCTCATTCATTGCTTTTCAATCATGGAATCACATAATACAAATACAGTTCACCTTGGGCAAGCATCTGCCACCTATTTATTTGCCTGAAAGTGGTAGATACCATATCCCCCATCAGCAGTAGTTGCCACAATGCTTTTGCAACGATAGTTGCAATTTTGGCCAGACAGTGGAAGTTGCCACAATGCTTTTGTAACAGTATTTGCATCTTTGGGGAGGCAGAGGTAGATGCCACAATGCTTTTGCAACGATAGTTGCAATTTTGGCCAGGTAGTGGTAGCATCATACTAGCATGCCACAATATGTTCGTTTCACCTTTTAGCAGAGGGGAAGGCCACCTTTTGTTAAAAATATATTTTCTAGTTGGTAATAAATAATGATCTGTGATTGAATTGGCTCTTAATGCCTTAACCTTAACAGCCATAATGAACCTCTGGTGTTCAGTTAGAAAGTAAATGGTAAAAATAAAATAAGTTTAAAAGTGTGCAGATACGGCCTGTCATGTTCACTGCAACCCTCTCTTTCTTATTGTTAATGTGTTAGTTTGTTTGAAACATGACCTTCTAGAGGTAAACAGAACACGTGTGATCTACATGGTAAGTATGACAACAATGTTCAGACTGCCTGTTGTCTGTTTGAACTGCTAGTAATAACCCTGGTTATTCTTATTTCTATTGATATGTTTTGGTGGAGAAGGCGTGGCTGTATGGGGAGGTGGAGGCCACTTTTAGTTTTTAATGATAATAATTGTTTTGTCTTTAAATTAATGACATTTTGTTCCATAATATTAACATTCAAAATGCATCTATGTTTTGGAAAACATTTTTATCAGCTTATAAAATAAAATAAATTTTAGGTGCCGATTTGTCTTATGTGTTTATTCCAATAGTCAGTGAGTGAGCGAGTGAGAGAGTGACTTGAGTTTAACTCTGCTTTAACCAGTGTTTCAGTCATGCCGCAGTGTGTCTGATCTAAGTGAGAAAGGCTTGTTGAGGTTTCCCACTATTACAGTTCTGAGGTCTGTACAACATCCATAGTGTGAAGTGTTATCTACATGGAGCCAGGAGGTATGACTACATGATCAGTAAGTTCCATAACACTGTACCAGACTGTGAAGTGTAATCCAGATGGAGGTTTGACGTACAGTCAGTAAGATCTGAAGCCTGGACCAGTTGATAGTGTCAGTCTGTCAGTTATGGGTGCTGGGGACCCACATTGCCATGATCTGAAGCCTGGACCAGTTGATAGTGTCAGTCTGTCAGTTATGGGTGCTGGAGACACGCATTGCCATGATCTGAAGCCTGGACCAGTTGATAGTGTCAGTCTGTCAGTTATGGGTGCTGGGGACCCACATTGCCATGATCTGAAGCCTGGATCAGTTGATTGTGTCAGTCTGTCAGTTATGGGTGCTGGGGACCCACATTGCCATGATTTCATCAGCACATTATTTTCATTTGAACATATTGTCATAGCCTGCTCAGACCACTTTGGGGAACTGGCACCACATATGTATTAACCACTGCAGGGATAAATATTCCATTTACGACTATGCATACACAACTCATAAATGTACAAGAAGTGAGTGAGAATGTTTTTCAATATGCTGCAGTTAGCAGTGTACCAGTTTTATAATGGCAGCCTGTACAAGTCAGGGCCCTGTTTCAGAAAGCTCTCATAACGCCACAAGTCAATGTTGCAGTATAAAAAGTATGAATGCTACAAGAAAAGTTAGCTTTGGGAAACGGGGCCCTTGTTTGTAAACCAGAGGCTGGACACATGAGCAAAGATCCATGCCATCTAGGTACAACCATGTACAATGAACCAAATCACAACCTGTCCACCAAATTGAAATTATAGAGTGAGTGAGTTTGGTTTTACGCGGCTTTTAGCATTATTCAAGCAATATCACAGTGGGGGAAAGTATAGAGAAAGAAGGATGTAATGTATACTGGGTTCTTGCTCTTGAGGTAATCAATAAATTATAAACACAGTATATTTATGAAACTCTTTGTCATCCTGACAGTCACTAGTTTCATCATCAATGTCGTGTAAGTGGCGTTGAGATTCAGCTGATGATTTCACAATCTTCAGGCTACACATATAACTTTTGAGACATTAATCTTACATCTTTTATTGTGTGGGTCTGTTAATAAGTTCACATTTTAAATAAAAACTATGGTAAGAGAACAGAATACGACTCAAATATGTAATTTCATAACAGTGTAATAGTTTCCTTTGATGGGCACAAGGTGTATAAGCATTTTGTATAAGTATAAGTATTTTGTATAAGTATAAGCATTTTGTATAAGTATAAGCATTTTGCTTCAGGTACACATCATTAAAACACCCTCCACAGATGTCTGTAACATGTAAGGCACTATATAGATGAGTGATCACATGAAAACCACATACAACTGCAGGCACTACTGTCTATTATCAGATTAGATCACCTTTGTTCACACATCTACACCCAATACAAAACACACTGACATGCACAATGTTGACGGGTAGTACACGCAAGGTGTAATGTCAAAACAATTTCAATTTGTGCTCAAACTTTTGTTAATTTATATAAATACATATCAAATTTCTGCCCCAAAAAGAGCAAGTTAACCCTAAAAAAACTATTTAAAAATGAAAACAAAATACTACCCAAGTAAATGAAAACAACTCATCCAAATGTGAAATGGCATGGGAAAATATTTACCTTTCAATTCTGCTGAAGTACAAAAATCTGTCAATGGTGTGATTAGGTCAAGTTCATGAAACCTCCATTTAAATGCAAGCCTGCAAACAAGCTGTTTTTATGCCTAGTCATGAGGTAGGATATAATCCTGCATCTCTGATGAAATTGAAAGAGAATCAAAATGTGGTGGGCATCATGACTAAAATGTTTTGTTTGTTGTGATCACAGGAATTTGAGACAAATGAGACAAAGTTATACACAATAGTACACAATAAGACAAAATACATCCAGCTGTCAGTACCGTTTAAAAGGGAAAAGCAGGAACACACACACATTGATAAACAATATGTAATATGTAAACATCAATAAGAAAATAACTATCTGGAATGTTCATGAAAATCTGTCCCATCTATATATATATATATGATGTAAAAATCATTGCAAAAACCTGAGATTATATATTACTTGGAGCAACATTCAAGCAGTATCACATCAAAAAATGGGCTTGACACCCAATACCAATACTGGGAATCAAACCTAGGAATTCTGTGAGACGAATGAAGGTTTCAACCACTGAACTACCCAACTGCCCTCTACATATTTGGGACCCGTGAAGATCCAGGTTAGAATTGGTCTTCAGAAACCCATGCTTGTCGTAAGAGGCGACTAACGGAATCAGGTGGTCAGGCTTGCTGACTTGGTCGACAAATGTCATTGTATCCTAATTTTGTAGATCGTTGCTCATACTGTTGATCACTGGATTGTCTGGTCCACACTTAATTGTTTACAGACCGCCGCCATATAGCTGTAATATTGCTGAGTGCAGTGTTAAACAACCAACCACCAACCAATCTACACATTCGGATATCTTGTAGAGAGGAGCTAACATTATAAAATTGATAACTGGAAACAGGGTTTCTTACTGTCATGCACAAGCCCTATTCTTCAGCTTGAACCATTATGCACTATAAGTTCAAGTGATATGTGAATACCAGTGCACAAACTACAATGAGAAATATAACAAAGATATTCAGCTTTTTTCAACATACACATCTTATCCTCCAATTATGTACATCTCACTTGTGAAGATTCACCACATATGTATATGCCTTCTTTGTTCATGATACAGGATATATTATACAAGATACCCAGGTTACAGTATACAAGATACCCATGATACAGGATACATTATACAAGATACCCATGATACAGGATACATTATACAAGATACATTATGCATGGTACAGGATACATTATACAAGATACCCATGGTACAGGATACATTATACAAGATACCCATGGCACAGGATACATTATACAAGATACCCATGGTACAGGATACATTATACAAGATACCCATGGTACAAGATACATTATACAAGATACCCTTGGCACACTGTACACCATGATACGGTGTACATTATACTGTACATCACCAAATGTGCACTGTGCATTATACAAAATTTGTGTGTCTGTGTGTCGATCTGTTTGTTTGTATATGTCTGTCTTCATAATTCTTTAATTGTGAATGGCAGTCGGTGTGTTCCAGTCTATGACATGAACTGTCCCGGCCACTCCGGTCATCTCCCGGTACACCAGGAAGGGAGACTGTTTAGTGAATGACAGATGGTGTGTTCCAGTCTATGACATGAACTGTCCCGGCCACTCCGGTCATCTCCCGGTACACCAGGAAGGGAGACTGTTTAGTGAATGACAGTCGGTGTGTTCCAGTCTATGACATGAACTGTCCCGGCCACTCCGGTCATCTCCCGGTACACCAGGAAGGGAGGTCCAGGGAGGAGAGGGTTTTCAGCCGAGTACACCGTACAGGTCTTGAAGGCACAGGGGGACTCACTCCAGCTGTATCTGAGCCCCAGGATATTCTGCCCCTCCCCACACACCAGGGAGAACAGTGTGATGCTAGTAGAGAGGCCAGACAAGATGGGGGTGGGGGTCCAGAATGTAATGCTGGAGTTGTTTACAGTGCAGAGAACCTGAAATTAATAAGAATAGAATATAACATCAAGCAAAATATACACAGCACAATCAGAACACTTGAACACCAGCAGTCATCTGACATATCCGAGAACAAACTTTACCTTTTGCAGCTGTCATATAATTTTTCTTACTTATTGTGATTCAGATACCAACTGAGGATTGACAGCATAAAGATGTCAAAGGTAATGATAACAAGATGGTTTCACTTACTATCAAAACAACTTCATCAAAGAAACAATCACATCAGGAAAGTGTTTTATCTCTGGCTTTCATGGCAGAGCACTTCACTCAGAATTAAACTGATTCATAGACAATTGATCTATCATTAAGTGATTATTTAAAAATGAGACAACATTAAAAATATCTTTGGTCCTGTTTCACAATGTTATGATAGTGCTACAACTGCCGAAGCTCACATATTTTAACAGTTGTAGTGAGATTGTTTTGAGGCCGATCCTCAGATAAAACAAGCATTGTCACTAAGGTGACATAATCCCCTGTCGCAAATTATCAAATTAAAAAGTAATGAAAGTGAAGGTCGTAGTTAAAGATGAAGTTAAATGTCAACAAAAACAGATATCTTGCTCTGTAGTTGTTCAAACACATAAATATTTTCAAGACTCATTTTAACCTTGACATAAATGTCAAGGTGCATGAAATATGTAAAAATAGTAATAAAGAATTTTTTATCAAAAAACATTCAAGAGAAGTATTGAAAGTCTATGAAGCAAAATCCAGTGAACCGTTTTTTGAGATATCTCGCTGACAAGCTTAACAGGCAGGTTAACATGCTGAAATCTTCAAAGTGTCTCCATGACCTTGAAAATCCCGTGGAGGTCACCAAAATCAACTGGGCCCTGCGCCTTCCCTAGATGAAGCATGGTGTTTAATATGAAGAAAATCCAGTGAACGGTTCTTGAGATATTTTGCTGACACGGGTAAAATATTTAAGTTCCCTTGTGACCTTGAAATGAAGGTCAAGGTCACCAAACCTGACTGGGATCTTTCACATACTGTGATGAACCTAGGTACCAAATATGAAAAGAATCTAGTCAACGGTTCTTAGGATATTCCAATTCATACAGACAGACAGACAGACAGCCAGACATACCAACGGATGGAGCCTAAGACTATATTCCCCGCTGTGTGTTTAGCTTGATCTAGGCACTTACTTCAAACCCAACCAGGTTGTTGTACTTGATCTTCTCTGTGTACATCAGGGTGAGGTTTGTCGTGCCTTCTTGTATATGTGCTGGTAGCGGCCCCTGAGTTACCTCCTCTTGCTGGTTGTAGGCGATACTCATCCCACTGATGGCCAGCCTGGCAACAACATCCTGTTTGTCTCGGGGGTGGATGCTGGAACAAAGATGACCCGCATTGACATATATGTCTGAGATATTCCATGAAAACATTAACTGCACTTCAACCAGGAACCTGAAAGTCATATGTCCCTAAATTATAATTCTGGCACGTGACTGCTGAAAACACATCTGGAATGCAGTATACATTCAATGTTTATAACCATCATCCTCAGCCAATGAACTGCTTGAACATATCTTGCCTCAAACACCTTAAAAACACATCATATCAATACAAGGGGTTCTACATTAAAACTGACTGACTGAGTATGGTTTCTGAGAAGACCTCTACCAATATGATCAGAATATGCAAAAGACATACAGTCATGACAGGCTGTACCAAACAATCGCGATTCCAGTGCAAGATTTACTTCTACAATTTCAGTTTCATCCTTCATTTTCAGAAGAAGACAGACAGACTATGTGCCATGCCTTTAGTTCATTGTGATCTTCCATCCTGGGGAACTAAAACAAACGTAACTTAATCCGACTTCACCTCCACAATCAGGGTGTTCTCAACAAGCTCAAAACTGAAATTCAAGTATCTGAACTGTGTTCACTTAGTGTAGGCTAGCTCAAATAACCGAACTGAGTTCACCAGGATCCGGTTGTATCATTGCTTCATTAACTAATGTCAACATTAAATCCTAATGATACATTAAATCCTTAATGCATCATTAGTTAATGGCATCATTAAAAACGGTTGTATCAAACACTTATTAGCGTATCATTATCTAATGACGTCATAATGTAAATATTTTCATTAAATGCGTGGATTCCCCTAAATATTTCCCACAATTCCGCGACATAAACATGTAAGTGTTACTCTTGGTCGTCTGTCAAAATGGCATCTTTACGGCTAAACCCTCGGAACAAAATCAATAATTTCAAGTGCAGTGAAGAAACACATCTCAATAATTCTGAAATGGCGCCGATAAACCTAGAATCGGTTGGGATGTTTTGGAAAATACATGAACACGATTGCCGAAGTGAGCTTTCTGCCATATTGGATAGTGTTTACAAAATCAAGTTTCACCAAGGCCGTTGATAGGACAAGTATATATTTCATATTCAGTTGTGACAAATGCATCGGTGAATTCCTCATACATTGTAGAATCAACTTACAAATGGTCTGTGTCACTAAAACCAAGTGTCTAGACAAAAACTAAACATATTGGGTGTGAAAACGGAACGTTGTGCTCATAACACAGCGCTTGCTAGAAATGTAAACAAATCAAAAATCAGATTTTACGCTGTGCAGCATTTTCTCAATGTTATAGACATCAGTTTGTCTACTCGTAGCATGCATGAGCTCAATAGTTTAAGAATATGCACGGAAAGAGTATCATAGCAAGAACTAGAACATTAAATACGGATACAATACAGTAATTTGATATATTCATATGAAATTCTCTGCAGCGTGACACCATGCCAGACGCAAAATCACGGAGAACGACATAGACAATTATCGGCATTTCTGGCTTTTTCAATGAAAGCAATCAAATGTACGTGATACATTCTATAGCTTAATTGGCTATAGAAATGTCATTTTAACGCATCGTTACACACGATTGATTCTGAGATCCAGTGAACCATTTTTGAGCTAGCTGAGGGTAAACCCCCCCAATCCCATGCATTCATTGAGCTCACCTGCCATAGGGAGAGGCAAAGTCTGGGAGATCCATGGCAACAGACATGAAGACATTCTTCATCCTGGGGTTGGGCACATAGCCGTAGTCAGCTGTCTGGTGCCACCGGATCTCAGAGAACCCCGGGTCCACACTGTCAGGTCTGTAGGCAGCCAACTGGAACCAAGCAATGGTAATTACATGTACCTCATAGTATACATAAATACACTTGAGCAAGTAGTGTTGCAAAAAGGCACACACATTGTTGAGCACAGGTCTCCTAGAGTTCTCCTGTTGGTCATCTGGTTGTGAAGTTGGGCAGTGATTGCAGTTCAAATGACCCACAAGCGACGTAGAGATCAAAGTCTCCTAGAGTTCTCCTGTTGGTCTAGTTGTGAGGCTGGGCGGTGACTGCAGGTTTAGATGACCTACAAGCGACGTAGAGATCAAAGTCTCCCAGAAAACATTACTGTGAGACATGGTATTGGAATAAAATATTCTTCTTTCAACATTTGTTTTCAAATGAACTATTTCAATACGGACACATTTCAAACAGACTGATGTAAGTTCAAGTATAAGAGTGCAAGTGTACCTGAACAAAGCCAAAAGGAAACACAGGATCAGTTTCTCCATCGGATGCGTTGTGGAACTTCTGTCTCCAGTCATCTATCATGCTGGGGAACGTACAGTTGTACTTGTGGACATTGGTAACCGTGTTGGCCTCACCTGGAGAATAGAATTTCCTATGGATTAAAAAAGATCTGAAATGAAGCAGGGTCACTAAAAACATTGAATAGCTGGGGGTGTAGTGGGAGTTTAGTGTGTGTTTGTTCTTCCAAATTTATTGCACTTCAGAATTTTTTTTTAAAAACAAACATTTTCAGTAAGCATTAGTAGAGAATATATCCAAAACATCCCAGTATTCTCCCAGTTGATGTTCATAAGCTAAAACACAGGTGCAGGGGCAGATTAAGAAGAAGCCTCAACAGACGGAATAGAAAGTTTAAGATTATACTGAAGAAGACTTACATCTACATTTATGGATGATCTGAACATTATGAGAAACTCTGCACGTTCAAACAGACTTAAACTGATGGTCTCAAAATCTTGAAGTTTTACAAAATGTTAGATAAGGCAAAATGTGCAAAATCACTTCACAGGAACGCAGATGCATATGGAAAATGTCATGTGCCAGGATTCAGCAACATACAAAACACTTGGCATGTTCAGGATGCTCGAATCACATTCGACAGTCTATGGAATCACATTATACACATGATCATAGTTACCTTGATACCAGATAGCTCCATATATGGTCATATTGAGGAGAGGGAAGACCATTCCATTCCAGAGATTGGAGGCTGAGTCTGGTCCATCCAAAGGATTTTCAGGATCAACTTCCATATTCAGCCAAGGAAGGTCCTCAGTTCTGTTAATGATAAGATCAGTCAGTAATTATCTCAGCCATCTTTCAAAACATCAACAGTTGTATATGGTTTGATCACTATACAACTTCCCTGAATTTATTTATAAGAAGTATACATGATTTGCTGTGGAAACTTTCAAGAATCACAAGCCAAACGAAGGTCTTACATTAGATACAAAAACCTTCAGCAACATTTCACATGTAATATTAGCAATGCATTTAAGTATGCTTTAAATGACCTCATCATCTTCAAACCATCAGATTTGTTTATTTCTTGTGACTGACATTACAGGCATCGACCTATCCAATTGGGATACAATGACCTGTGTCAACCAAGTCAGCGAGCCCAACCACCTGATCCTGTTAGTCGCCTATTACGACAAACATGGGTTGCTGAAGACAGAATCTAATTCAGATGTTCATGGGTTAAAATCATCATAACTATCACCATCAGCATAACCATCACCATCTCATCATAATATAAACAAGTGTGATGTAAGTCTGCAGTGTTGTATATTCAAGAGCATGTACTAATCCACACTGTGTGGGGGGAAAACCCAAAATGATATATATAGCAAGTTGAAGAGCTGAACCACAAATGAGACACATACTGCAATGTTTTATATTCAAGAGCATGTACTAATCCACACTGTGTGGGGGGAAAACCCAAAATGATATATATAGCAAGTTGAAGAGCTGAACCACAACTGAGACACATACTGCAATGTTATATATTCAAGAGCATGTACTAATCCACACTGTGTGGGGGGAAAACCCAAAATGATATATATAGCAAGTTGAAGAGCTGAACCACAACTGAGACACATACTGCAATGTTATATATTCAAGAGCATGTACTAATCCACACTGTGTGGGGGGAAAACCCAAAATGATATATATAGCAAGTGGAAGAGCTGAACCACAAATGAGACACATACTGCAATGTTTATATTCAAGAGCATGTACTAATCCACACTGTGTGTGGGGAAAACCCAAAATGATATATATAGCAAGTTGAAGAGCTGAACCTCAACTGGGACACATACTGCAATGTTATATATTCAAGAGCATGTACTAATCCACACTGTGTGTGGGAAAACCCAAAATGATATATATAGCAAGTTGAAGAGCTGAACCACAACTGAGACACATACTGCAATGTTATATATTCAAAGAGCATGTACTAATCCACACTGTGTGTGGGAAAACCTAACATGATTTATATAGCAAGTTGAAGAGCTGAACCACAACTGAGACACATACTGCAATGTTATATATTCAAGAGCATGTACTAATCCACACTGTGTGGGGAGAAAACCTAACATGATATATATAGCAAGTGGAAGAGCTGAACCACAAATGAGACACATACTGCAATGTTATATATTCAAGAGCATGTACTAATCCACACTGTGTGGGGGGAAAACCCAAAATGATATATATAGCAAGTTGAAGAGCTGAACCACAACTGAGACACATACTGCAATGTTATATATTCAAGAGCATGTACTAATCCACACTGTGTGTGGGGAAAACACAAAATGATATACAGTCAGACCTCGTTAATACGAACACTTTGGTTTTATAAAAAAAAACGTTCGGAAAAAGAAACGTTCGTACTGCTGAAACCACAGTATATGCACCGAGTTACTTCCCCTTGATATCTTTCCTAACTATCGAGACTCTGAGGTCATAGATGAAGCCTATTTTTATGAAGGAAATTATAATCCTACTGTTGATAAATATGAAGTTTATTTTTATAATGTTATTCAAAAACTATGGCGATTTTTTTCCATTTGTGACATGTCATAACATGCCAGTGCCTTTTTCTTTTATATTTTCATTGTTACGTCATCAGAAAATTATTATAAAAAGATTTCTTAAATAATATGTATGGTTGCCTATTTCCCGATATCAGTGGCTTTCCGCTCGGTAACATGACATAACAACGGAAAACACCTCCGTTTTCGAGCGTCGTTATGAATAACATGGGAGGCGAATCGTTTGATGTCGAGGTATCGTTCGAAAGCTCTGAACATCAACAACATCACTGAACCCTTGCCGAGTATTTTTCACAGTTGTAAGAAGCGATTTTATTGGATAAAAATTGGTTTCTAAAGGCGCTTTTCGCTACAGTCTGCTATAAGGGTGCGTGATTGGTCAAAATCAGACCGTTGACCTAAGGCAGCCAATCATATCACGGGCAATGGATATCGTCCTCGTAAAACCGAAAACTTTTAGATCTAGGCGAAAGTTTTGGGTAAAATAATGCTATTTTGAACATATTAAGCAAGAAATTGCTACCTATTAGTTTATTCAATTTACATCGTTACTTTGCTCTTTGACAATGTTACTGTGGACCCGCTGCGAAGCATGTGTCCGAGAATCGTTGTTTTCAATAACATTGCGAAAAATAGTTTATAATTTTAATTTGGTACCGAAGCATATATTTCTGGATTGAAGTCTTTCCCAAAACAGCTTGTTCGTCGAAATTTCCCTATCACTTATGATAAAGGGATCAAAGGGATGAGTCGCTTAGTCGCTAAACAAACAACGTGTCACTTTGGGTGGACAAGTCAGCAGCGCGGTCAACTTCAATCGTTCGGATTAACGCAGCTGTTTACAACTTAATTAGTCCAATCCGTTCCGACTGACCAGCGTTCGGAGGCGGAAACTGAATCATCGGACTAACGAGTTGTCAATTATATACAATATATAGGGAGATGATTTGGTGCTCGGTGAGTAGCGTTCGGAAGTCGGTGGATTCGGATTAACGAGGACCGGATTACCGCTGCCTGACTGTATATAGCAAGTTGAAGAGCTGAACCACAACTGAGACACATACTGCAATGTTATATATTCAAGAGCATGTACTAATCCACACTGTGTGGGGGAAAACCCTAATGATATATATAGCAAGTGGAAGTGCTGAACCACAACTGAGACACATACATCGGATCCAAACCAGTAAACGGACATGTGGAATCAAGAATCACAGCTGAAACACATACATGTTGGGTCCAAACCAGTAAACGGATATGCTGGAGTGAATGAGAGAAGGAAAGAATTGATAAGACTAACTCGTATGTTTCTTCGTCCAGTCCACACTTGGCCAAAGCATCGGTAGATGACCACGCCTCCACCGGTGTCCCTCCCCAAGTGGTGTCGATCAGGCCGATGGGGTAGCCCAGCTTCTTGTACAGGGTTTTACCAAACAGCCAGCACACAGCAGAGAAGTACTTCCAAGGCTTCCCACCAACTGATGCTGTTTTCAAATAGAAGGACATGGGTTATAGAATAGTTTAGATATTACAGCACTGCAGTGAGGATTTGACTTAATACTGTCACAGGAAGTTATGGCATTACTTCTTCTGGCATCACTATACAATACCTATCTGAAAATAGTGCACTATTTGACACCTGGTTATATAGGAAACAAGTTCTAAAACATTTGAACATGTATCTCATGTACCCTCCTATCAACTATACCAGTAGCAGGCGGTGGGGTAGCCTAGTGGTCAAAGCATTCGCTCGTCATGCTGAAGGCCTGGGTTCGATTCCCCACATGGGTACAATGTGTGAACCCCATTTCTCATGTCCCCTGCCGTGATATTGCTAGAATATCGCTAAAAGTGGCGTAAAACTAAACTCACTCACTACACCTGTAGCTAAATCTATTGACTGACTGACTAATGACCATAAATAGTTCCACAGGTAACATTTTGAAAATTCTGATTTGAACCTCATAAGCAAATACTGGCATTATCACCGATTCATCATCACTGGTCAAATGGTTTCTCGGGTGATGATTTTAAGTGTGAGAAAGTGTGGATAATTTGACCAATTTATGTACAAAGTTCTAGGGACAAATCAACATCAATGTTTTTATCTAATTGAACCTTAACATTTATTTTCAGCCCTACTGCTAACTATGTGTATCGAATTCCAATATATTTTGAACAGATATGGGTTGGTAATACCCATGAAAAAGGTTTCAACCCTCCAAAAATCAGACTTGAATTAAACAAACATGGAAAATCCCTTCCGTGCAGACTCTAAATACAAAAATAATACGGTCTGCCAACTGAGATCAGTGTCACAAAGAAGATGGACCAAATGACTTTGGTGGAAGGTTGTACATCAAGCTGTGTGAGATGGACCATGGCAAAAAAGAACTTACTGATGAAGCTCTTTGAACATGTTGAAGTTTACCAATCTGGTGAAACCCATGGGCGCACGTAGGGCGCTGACAAACCGCGAAACATGATGAGGGCATTTCAGGAGGAGAACCTACAGTCACAGGTTTCCTGGACACATAAATAACACAACATGTCTCAGTTAAAAAAAATAAAATAACGATCATCTATACAAACTTTTGCTAGCGACCGCCCACTGTTCCCAGATGCCATGGAGGTCTGGAATGGGGAAGGAAGCTGGGACATCGGCGACAGTGAACAGCCGGATGTTGGGGTAGTTGCCAGCATCGGCCAGTTCCTCACTAGCATTGAAGCCCTGAATCAAGACAGCAGTACATGTGAAGTCCTATTAGAGTGATAATACACTGAACATACTTGTTTGAAGATGGCTTAATTACAGCATGGTATAGTACTTAAACACTTCTGCAAATATTCTGCACACACAGAAGTTTGCCAGCATCATAACTAGTAGCTGACATCAATCAGTAACAGTGGGTGTATAAACCATTAAACCATGAATAACAGTAGGTGTTTAAACCATGAATAACAGGTGTATAAACCATTAAACCATGAATAACAGGAGGTATTTAAAAACCATTAAACCATGAATAACAGGTGTATAAACCATTAAACCATGAATAACATTAGGTGTTTAACCCATGAATAACAGGTGTATAAACCATTAAACCATGAATAACAGTAGGTGTATAAACCATTAAACCATGAATAACAGTAGGTGTTTAACCCATGAATAACAGGTGTATAAACCATTAAACCATGAATAACAGTTGGTGTATAAACCATTAAACCATGAATAACAGTAGGTGTTTAAACCATGAATAACAGTAGGTATTTAAACCATGCATAACAGTAGGTGTTTAAACCATGAATAACAGGTGTATAAACCATTAAACCATGAATAACAGGAGGTGTTTAAACCATGAATAACAGTAGGTGTATAAACCATTAAACCATGAATAACAGTAGGTGTATAAACCATTAAACCATGAATAACAGGTGTATAAACCATTAAACCATGAATAACATTAGGTGTATAAACCACTAAACCAAAGATTCAGTGCAATCAAAAAATGAAACTGAGTACAAAAGAGAAATGTTTCACAAACTGGAGATGACAGAAAGTCACTTGTCTATTTAGGTTTATGTTGTTCAGTGGTTTGGCTTGCACAAGGGTGGTAACTGCGGACAGATGGTATGAGGCAAATAAGCAGCTGCTTCAGCCAACCCAAAGGGGTTTTCAGTTCTTTGAAGAGTTTTCCTTGGGGGACATATATGTTTTTTATGCTGTTGAAAATGTACTGTGAAAGTTGAAACAATGTTTTAATACAAATATTGTAGAATAAAAAATACTCTTTATTCTTTATTTGTTACACAGCCTCCAACCACCCAGAGTTATTTCCTACCTCTTCTGAAAAAAACTGAAAGTACGCATCGCCATGTCTGGAAACTGATGTATGATTGTTGTGTTTCACGCTGTGATTCTAAATTTGTAAAGCAACACATTGCATCTGCATGTATGATACATTGTATATGTCTTTATGAAAGTGTAATGTATAAAATGTTCATTTAAAACCAAAGGTGCTGAGCGGTCTAGGCATCTGACTTTGTGTGCAGGCCATTAGGTGCCTGACTCTGAGGGTGTGAGTTCAAATCCCTGATGGGGCTCAACTCAAAAAGTACTAGAATTTGTACTTTACTAAGAAAGTGTAATCCCAAATATAACACATGTTACATAAAACCAAAGCAGTTAGAAACAACTATGTTGTTGTGGGGTGTACATGTTATTACCGTTTTTTAGATTATTTCGCAAAGTGAATTTGTTTCGTGACATGGGGTTGTCCATACATGACAGGATGTAAGTAATCAGCTTCATCCTGCTTCATATGGCATACAGATAGTATGTATCACACCTCGAAACTTGACTGTTTACATGTACTTGCTTGTCACAGAATAAAGCAGTGAATGAGAAACTCGCAGAACTGGCTGAGTATTGACATTGAAATTAACATAAACATTGCAGAAACAGATACATATTTACTAATTTAGCAACAGCTACAACAAAGTGGGACTTTTCACAGGCAAATTACAACAGCTTTGATTTAAATTTCTCAATTGTTTGCTTAATGCGGTGCATGTCAATCCGTGGTATAAAGATCAACTAAACTACACAGAAACACTAATGTCTAAGTTTCTAGAACTAGGCACAAATCTAAAGGCATCGTCCACCTTTGACACATGTTTAACTTGACAGAACTTTTCACATTTCCACATTTTCATGCTCTGCAGGGACATGTTTGTAAGGGTAACCTCTTGCTTATGCAGATTTTAAAGGAGTTAATTTTATTAAAATCTAAATATTTTAGATATTTAAATACTTACCTTACCATAGGTCTTATGCATATTACCTCAAGCTTCGCTTAAAAGAGATCAGACAGTCGTTGATTTGCTATTCTCTAGAATGGCTGCCTCAAGTATTGACAAGTGTACAGGAACGGAAGTGACGTGATCTCCCCTCCCGCGCAAGCCCGGTGTATCCAAAAATCACTTTTACCAGGTCCGAAGAGCCCAGAGAGGGGAGGAGCATCCAGCATTGGGAGGGAGTTACCGCCCTATGGTAAAGTAAGTATTTATATATCTAAAATATTTAGATTTTAATACATTTTTAACTTACCTTACCATAGGTCTTATGCATATGGATTCGACAGTAGGACGACGGTGACGGGCTCCAGAGGACCGTCCCACGAAGAAAAAACAAGACCACATGCCAAGGGAAACCAAGGAAAACTAACTGAATCGGCAAACTGTCGCAGGAAGCACCTGGAACAAGAAACAGATAGTAACCCAAGGAAACCCTAAGGAAAACAATACACCCAGGGCGTAAGTTATCCTTAAGACCAGAAGGTAAGGAGAAGTAGTTACCTAATGGGCAACCACCAGTGGACCAAAGGATTGAAGACCTTCAAAATCCTCGACGGCCAAAGCCCGCAGGTAGTGGCTAGCGAAGACAGTAGAGCACTTCCAGAAGCATCCCTCCATGATGGCTGGAACGGTGCAGTTCCTATGGACAGCCATGGTGGACGCCAGGGCCCTAATCTCATGCAGGTTATTGGCTGTAGGATGAGGCAGATCTAGTGCATCGTAGGCGGCCAGGATGGTTGTACGTAGCCAGAGCGCAATAGTAATTCTATTAACTTCACCTTTTGCCGCAGAGGAAGACGGGATGAACAGCCTCTTGCGAGACTGCCTCCTGGATGATGATTTGGCAATATACATCTTAAGAGCCCTCACAGGACAAAGCAGCTGTTCCTCAGCATCGTGGCGTGCTAAAATGGAAGACAATGGAGGAATAGAGAACATTCTGTCTGGTTCTCCTGGCAGCTGGTTCTTAGCCACGAAATCCCAAAGCAGTCCCAGATGAACAAGACCATGCCGCGACTGCTCAAAACGCACCCTGGTGACATCCAATGTGTGGATCTCACTGACCCTAGCCGCCGTGGCCAGGGCCAAGAGAAAAGCTGTCTTTCTGGAGAGGTTCTCGAATGAAGCAGTGTCCAAGTGCTCGTAAGGCGGACCTCTCAGATGCCGGAGAACAATGTTAAGGTCCCAAGCAGGAGGACAAAACTTTGCCTTCTGGTCCTCCAGCTTGAAAGCTTTGAGTACGGCGATGAGCTCCGGCACCTTGAAAATCTTTTTGTCTCACTTGACCGCCAAAACAGAGTTAAGAGCCGATAAATAAGTTCCTATAGTGTTGCCCTTGAAATGCCGAGACTTTCAACGGGTCCTTGGACTTTTGTGCACAAAACTTCTCAAAGGAAGTCAACTTATCATAGAGTGATCTTGTGGAGACTCAATGAGCACAAGCAATAACCTTGGCTACACCCGTGGAGAAGCCCTTGGCCTTCAGCGCCTTTTGCAGATGATCCAACCGTACAGATGAAATCGAGTCGGATCGGGATACAGCTGTCGACTGTGCGGATGCCTGAGCAGGTGAGGCCACTCTGGTAACTGTTGCGGACTTCTTTCGGCGAGACGGCGCAGATCTGGGAACCAGGTTCTGGTTGGCCACCAAGGCGCAACCAAAAGCAGATGAATCGTCTCTGTCTGCTTGACCTTTGCTATCACTGCTGGTGGAAAGACGTATGCGTCCAGACCCTCCCACGACAAGGACATGGCGTTGACTGCCCATGCCACCAGATCTGGAACCGGAGACACGTACAACGGAAGCTGTTTGTTGAACCGAGTTGCAAACAGGTCGATCAGAGGGCGGCCGTGACTGGCACATAGAAGGTTGAATGCTTTTGGATGTAGCATCGACTCTGTTGCCGACGGCTTGCCTGGCCTTGAGAGAGTGACTGCTAGGACGTTCTTGCACCCTGGGATGTACCGGGCTCTGGCTCTGATGCCACTGTTGTCCAGGAGACTGGCCAAGAAGGTCTGCTCCAACAACTGCTTGGACCTGGTCGTTCCCTGGTTACGAATCAACCACACCACCGTAGAATTGTCCGACGCTAAAAGGAGTCTGGTGTTCCGCAGCAGAGGCGTCCAGTGTCAAACCGCTAGAATGACTGCTTGGAGCTCCAAGTTGTTGATATGCCAGCCTAGCTCGGCGTCGGACCACAGCCCCAAGGTGGTCTGGTCTTTGAGGTGTGCACCCCAACCCTGAAGAGACGCATCTACGAAAAGTTTGTGATCGTGAACAAACTCTGTCAAGGAGACTCCTACGCAGATGTTCGACTCTACTGTCCACCAGCGGAGGTAAGTGTGGAGATGCAGAGGCAGAAGGAACCTAGACTGGAGGTCGTCTGCCTGGATGTAAGGCAAGAGTAAGCGCTGTAACGGCCGGAGCATCAGACACGGAAGCACTTTCCACTGGTACTATATAGTGGTAGTGGGACCCGTTGAAAATAAACCTCATGTACTTCCTGTGACGATGGTAAATGGGCACATGCAGGTAGGCATCCTGGAGGTCGAGGCTGGCCGGCCAGACCCTGGGCTCAAGCTTGGCACGAAGCTGTTCCAGGGACACCATCCGGAAGTGAGGCGGCTCCGAAAGGAAAAGGTGGTTGAAAACTGCCATTGTGAATCATTTTCACTGAGTCTTTCTTGGGAACCAGGAAGATGGGTGAGTAGAACCCTGGGGACTGTTGGGGGTCCAGCACTGTCTCTATAGCTTCTTTGTCTAACAGGGTCTGAATGTAGTCTGCTAGCAGTAACTGTTGGTCTGGAGCATACACGCGTGACTGGGGCGTTGTAGTCAGAAGCGGCGACACGGCGATTGGCAGCCTGTAACCGGTCTTGAGAATGTTGGTCACAAACAGATCTTCTAGGACTGTCCAATTGGGCCAGAAGATCCCCAATCTCCTGCCTACTGGAGTAGGATGAACTGGCACGGCTGGGGGCGGGAGGTCCCAGTCGTGTTGGTTCCTAGCTTCAGCGACCTGATTAAGGGCACTTCCCCCTACCCCTGCCTGGTGTCGAAGGGGGCTCCTTTCAGCGCCGTCGGACCTGCCACGGCCACATCCTCGTCCTCTGCCGTAGACGACTTGCCACGAAAGGCCGAACTCAGAGCTTCGAAAGTAGACAGGGACACCTCAGTATTAGTAAGCTCCGTGTGTTCCTTATGGACCTCCGGAATCCGGTCATCAAAGAGGAAGCGAGACGCGAAAGGGGCTCTCAACAGCTTTCTTTTGAACTCCTCCTGCCAAGAGCAAAGCTCAAGGAACCCCATCCGCCGAACAACAATGGTCATGGCCAACGCCGTCCGAAGGTGTGCCAGTAAATCATGTAACACCTTACCCTGCCATTGGAACAGGGACGGTAAGGAGGTGGTAAGGAGTTCTGTCCTCGACGCATTGTCTTCAGTCAAGTCCCAAGCTGCAGCCGGAGTTGCAGAGGCCAACACCGAAACAGGTTTCAACATCCTCTTGAGCTCTGCGTCAATAGCCAACATCTTAGAGTCCTGCACTCAGTAAGAAGACTGTGGAGAACCCGATAAACGTTTGAGCGATTCATCATGAGCCGTGCCTCCATCAGCGAAATCCAGGGTATGTATCTTGTAGTCCCCGAGTAGTGCGCGACTTAGGAGCCTTAATAGTAGTATTGAGAGACAGTTTAGCAAAGTCGGCATCCAAAGAGGCCACAGCATCGGCTACCATCGAGTGAGGCGGGAAGAGTAACTCGGGAAAAGACCTAATAGCGCTCGGGTCGTCAGAGCCTGAAGAGGGAGAAGGACAATCTGGCAGTCTGTCGGCAATCCAGTCAAACACAGCAGATAGGGGGAGGTAAGTACCCCCGTCATCTTCCTCTTGTTACATCTCTTCGTTATAATCGGGAGAAAAATAGTGCTCCTCAGCTTCCTCCCAGGACACGGTAGGAGCATTAGACCGTTGGCCAGAAGCAGCAGGCGTGGGGCGCTCAGATGCCAGCTGAGAAACAGCACTAAAGGAAACTGTAGGGGAACGTGGTCATCGCGGCGAAAATTAGGCGACCTTGAACAGGACCGATGGCAGCGCCTCCCACGAGTCGGTGACCTTGAACGCCTCTCCCTATCATTGGGATGTCTGGGAGAACGAGACCTGGAATCAGACCGACAATGGCGACGACTAGTATCAGAACTATGACGAGGACTTCTAGAACGATGGTGCTGTCGAGGAGACCTAGAGTGAGACCGCTTAGAACGACGGCAGCGCTCAGCAACTGGTGTCAGGAATGCTCTTCCAATAACTGACGCTGTAAATCTTCCTCTCAGGACAACGTAGACAGAGGTGTCTTCTTGGGGATACGGTAGTCTGACAACGGCGTTGGCGTCGGCGTCGGTTGATCCAACAATCCAGCAACGTCAGAGCTAGGTGCCACGGTTGTCGGCGCTGGAACTGCACTAGGCAACGCAGAAGTCGGCGCTGGGACAGCGCTAGGTAATGAGGGTGTCGGCGCTAGCTTGGGTTTCAACTGCTGCAGGCAAAAGGAGCGTCCTTAGAAGCTTCTGTACCTCTGGATGAGATAAGGCATCCGGCTGTTATAAGTCCACTAAGGCGCCAGACGGGCGCTGGGCATCAGCATACGCAGCGCAAGTGTAGACGTCTGTTCTGCTAAGGGAGAGGAGCGTCCGTCCGGCGTCCGTGGAAGAGAAGATCTGGACCCCAATGGAGAAGCAGGTGAAGACATCTTCCTCTTACGCTGCGACAACCGTTTCTTCTTGGCGGCAGTATAAGCCTTAAAATCGGCGACGGACAACGGAGTACAAAAAAGACAGCGCTCAGCAAGTGAACAGGCCACAGTAGCGCAGTCAGGGCACCAAAACTGCAGGGTCATGCTCACAAAGGCTGTAACACATGAAAAAAAAAGTGAAAACGTAAATACTACGTAAACACACAGAAAAAAAAACCTGCAGAGAAAATGGAGACACCCCTGCAGCAAGAAAGGGCACGCCCAAGCAGGCGGAACAGTAGAGTAAACAACCAAGATGGCTGCCTCCCCTGAGCCGAAAAAGAGCGTGAAAAACAAGCACAAATTCACTTAGGCAATAATATCAAGATAAACAAAACCAAGCATGAACATTATGGTGAAAAAGACATAGAAGAATACAAAACACCAAACATGCCCAGTGGAGCGACACTCACAACGTGGGAACACAACCCACACGGAAGTGAGAAACACGAGGCAGCCAGGTAAGTGAAGTTTACTTTAATTATGTTCTTCACCCACACAGAGAAGAATATGGGATATAGAAATCATACATACCGAAAACACACAAGAACTTTAATATCTGAAAGTATCAGAGAGTCGCAAACTAGCAAAATCAAAAAACGTCTGTCACGCAGTAAGCTTGAAGTAACAGTGATAGACCGTGCTTGCGTGGGAGGGGAGATCACGTCACTTCCGTTCCTGTACACTCGTTGATACTTGAGGCAGCCATTCTAGAGAATAGCGAATCAACGACAGTCTGATCTCTTTTAAGAGGAGCTTGGGGTAATATGCATTAGACCTATGGTAAGGTAAGTTCAAATTTAATAACTCAGTGTTGGAATAATTTAACGGATCTTCGACCAACTTCTCCACATCTTACTCTCTTCTGATAATCAAAAACCCAATTTGAGAAAAATACTGGTAATATGCATTCAAGGTTTTATATTTATCATTTTGCCTTTGAAAGGAAAAAAGTTCCAATCATCATCCATAACGTAGTTCATTTTATCTAAGAAATGCTGACCTCATGTTGAATTATGTTGCAAAAATTTCATTGTTGTGATTTCAGACATGTAGATGAGGACTGATGTACAGTTACCACGGTTATTTTCCTCACTGCCACACACATACCTGGATCATAGTAAACTGCATGTTGGACTGCCCTGAGCACACCCAAACATCTCCAAACATCACGTCAGTCAGTGTGATCGTCTTCTCGCTGGATATGGCAGTGATCGTGAAGGGTCCAGCACTTGACTCTGCAGGGAGTTTTAGTTTCCACACCCCATAGTTGTAGAGTTGGTCCAGGTACACCTTGGTTGTGTATGTCCCTCTCTCGCTGACTTTGATGATGATTTTCTCACCGATGTTGGGGGCGTAACCCCAGATAGTCGCTCTCTTTGGCGCTTTCTGAAGAACCATGTGGCTGGAGTAGTAGGAGGCGAAGGCAAAGGACTTGGTAAGGCCTGGAAGTCGGGACGCTGCTCTCTGCTGCTCTTGGGATGCTAAAAAATAAATTGATATCCCTGCCATAATATTGCTGGAATATTTCTGAAAGTGACAAAAACCCTACTCACTCACTCATTCACTGACATGTTAGTACGATAGATGTGGCCAAGACGATGCATCCAGGGTATGGTGGAGATTGATTGTAACGTATCACTGACCAGACAATGTTTCTCTGATGCCCTGTGCCATGGCTGTCAAAACCTTTATTTACAAATCTTACTATTTCTTTAATATGTTTGCTATCAAATCTCTCTTCAAATCTTACGGTTAGCTTGGGTCACTTGTATTAGGGCCCTCATGTCTTCAGTCTTAAACCTTTGGAATAATGTTTTGGGTACCTTTCTGTGATAGGTCAGGAGAAGGCCCTGATCTTTGTTATGGACATGATGGAGGTTTGATGATACTTTTCATGATTAGTATTTCAGTATCACAGTTTGTGACTTCAGTCACTATTCTAAACCCTTAGTCTGTTACATGCAGTGTAATGGGTATGCAAGATATCGATGACCTCCTGATCAGATATGAAGGGGAGTAACTCTACTCCGCTAGCGAACAGTTATCGCTGCGTAACAGTTATCGCCAAGACATCAGTAACACACGTGCACAGTTCCGGTCAATTACAATTCCGGTATTTTTTCCTCGGTATTTGACAACAATAAAGGACAGCAAAAGAAAATTCTTCACAGTAAAAGTAACGTACAAGAAAAACTAAAAATAAAGTTATGAACCCTGTAATTATTTTTGGTTAACCTAGTTGGGGGGATGTCAACGATCTATATAATATCAAGTTCAAGTTCACAAGTCATTAATTGTTCCATTCTCTATCAATCTACTGTAAAAGAAACACTCAAACAGTCACACAATCAATTATTCGAGGTTACTGTATGATATAGATATCCCACCGTAACATGAATTCGGCGTTCTCCTGTTTTCGGCGATCGTACTTCTCGCGTGATTTCGCCCGAACGCGCGCGAGGTCAGGGGTCAGTATGCAAATTTCCTGAAAGGAGGTCACGTCAACTTGCTCCGTGAAAAAAGTTTTCAATAATGGAAATCAGGAAGGTAAGAATAACAAAAAAATAGCAGTACCTAAATAATAACATGAATTTTCTTAATACTTTATTTTACCTCATTATAAAGCTGTGTAAATAAGGTAAATGAGCCAACTATCAATCTTTGTTTGCATCGTCTGCTAGCCGATGATATTTGTCAACATTATATCACGTGACTTGTGACGTAAGATGCCGCTCGATTAAAAAACTACGGAAACATTTTCGGGCCATCCTTATCCAATTTCTCCATAACGTTAAACAATTTCTGATAGGTTTTCTTGTATCCTTTCAGACAAATATCACTGACTGTCGGTCCGTATAGGTCCAATTACACCAGAGATGATCTAGATAATGCTTACAGACTAGTGGTAGAAGAAAATGTGTCCGCACAGAGAGCAGCAGCCAGGTGGGGGGTTCCGGTTTCTACCCTTAAGGATCGTTTGTTGGGCAATATCAGCGTAGATACTGTAAAGTCGGGTCCCATGCCTCTGTTCTCACAAGAAGAATCCTTTTTAGCGAGCCATATTAGAGTTATGGGGGAGATTGGCTATGGTTATACGCGTCAGGAGACCATTTATCTTGCAAGCGATTACGCTGTCAATCAAGGACACAGAGACAGAGATCATCCTTTAAGTCTCCGATGGCTGTACAGTTTCTTAGATAGATGGCCAGAACTTAAAGTACAGAAACAGAGGAAACTTGAAGCAGCGAGGGCGAGATCAGCCACCAAAGAAAACATCAGTCGGTATTTCACAGAACTCTCCAACGTCATGCAAAAGTACAACTTTCAAAGTTCACCCCAGGCAATTTTTAATATCGATGAAAAGGGACTATCAACTGATGTAACACCACCCAAAATCGCCGCCGGATACATTGCAAACCACAGGCCGTGACATCTGGGAAATCACAAACGGTAACAATGATTGCCGCTGTTAACGCAGCTGGTGGCAGCGTTCCCCCTTACTTTGTATTTCCTGGACATCGTATGAGAGATGAGCTGTTATCAGGAGCTACACCCGGTACTGGAGGCACAGTTTCAGAGACAGGGTGGTCTAATACGGAAGGATTCAGCACGTATATGAAAACGCACCTGGTCCGACACTTGCCATCACGCAGCGCCGACTCTCCCGTTCTCATCCTCTATGACGGACACAAGAGTCAAGTTTCCCTTGGATCGATAGAATGGGCACGGGAAAATCACATCGTCCTATTTGTTCTTCCCCTTCATACAAGCCACCTCCTACAGCCACTGGACATAGGATGTTACGGGCCTTTTGAGACGACATGGATACGATCATGTCATTCATTCTTAAGAGTGAACTCTGGAAAAGCTATCGGAAAGCATGATATATGCAGCATAGCATGTCGTGTTTTCAACTCAACATTAACTCCTGTTAACATTTTGTCATCTTTCACAAAATCAGGAATCTTCCCCCTCAACCCCGAAGTGATTGATCACTTGGCTGTAATGCCGGCCCGATCTTTCTCTAGACCAACACCCGCGGTTTCAAGTTCAACAGGTACGCTCGTACAGGACACCGACGACAGACTGGATACTGCAAGGACATTCTTGGAATGTCGGGGTGGAGAAGTTTTGAGAAATGTTCAAACATACAAGCCAAGGAACACCATCAGTAAAATCGCTATGGGAAAGTCATCACAGATCAGGCAGTTGTTGACAGGATAGCCGAGCACAAGAAACAGCATCCAGAGAAACGGAAGGCTGATAAGGAAGTCGGCAAGGGGAAGAAGAAGTCAAGCGGCACTACATCGTTGTCCACATCGTCCCTGTTGTCTAAAGGGAATTCTGCCCAGAATAAGTCAAAAGGGAAAGGACCTGCACGCAAGAAACGCAACGCTCCCCCCATCAACAACCTTCTCAGACAGTTTTCCGACAGTGCAACTAATGACGCACGGTTTGCTGTGTGTGCGAAAATTTACACCGATGCATTGCATCGTTGTGACTCAATCACGTTTGTGAAATGGGCACAGTGTGACAAATGTGGTCACTGGGTTCACCTTGTCTTTGTACAAGTGTCACCGCTTTACGCACACATGCAGCATTTTTCTGTCCCCACTGTGATCACAGCCCAGTGGAAGAGTGAACTGCATTCATAAACTGTCATCAACAGTGTATATAACCTGTTTGGATTTCATCGTTATCTGTGCTTGAAATTGTTGAACTGACATTTTATTTTAACTCTTAAAGATTGACAAGTGACTAGAAGACACGAATTTGCCTTGATGAATTATATCCACATTGGAACACCATAGATATTCTGTGTATAACGTTATCGCCGAAAACTGGTGACGTAATGATCAAGTTGCCAAATATAGAACGTTACGGTCATGGCGGCCTTGCTCAACCGACGAAGCCGAGAGAATCAAAAAAAAGTAAGAGGAAACACCTTGGCTAACGTACTTTGTCTTGAATGTAAAATATTTTTATTACGATAGCATGGTTACATATGTACCGCGAATCGCTGTTACGTCGCCGAAAACAGGTGAAACTGGGATATTATTTCACAAATGGCTTGAGAAATTCTGAAACGGCGATAACTGTTACAGTTAGTTGTGAGAAAACTAAGTATATTTATTCTGTTTCATTAATTTAACAAACAGCAGAGTAATATTGGAAATACCGCTAAAATATGGCTATACCTGTTCGGCAGCCAGTGTATTGATTCCCTCCCTTCTGCATACGAGATAAATCTACTCTCCAGGAACTGGAATAAGTGCACTCAAGTTTGTATACACCTAACTTATATTTCCGAATGTATCTGAAATAACACAGACAAAAGTAGTCAATATTTTATCGTCAGCTGTCCTGGAAGGAGGGCTGGTGAATGGGTATCAAACCTAAGGATTATAAACGGGTGTTTGATGTTATGAAACGATATCAAGGATACTTACATATCATGTTTTCTTCAAAATCTTTTGCCATCTCCACCACATACTGTGCTGACACTGACCAACATGTAACAACGACGACTCCAACCACAAAGAGACTTCTGAGGAACGACATTGTCAACAATGCACGACGACGATCCGGCGAAACGAAAGCTGAGAATCAATGCTCTTTCAACCGTGCACTTTGTGGAAAACGAATTTAAAGCCACTGTCGTGACCTAGCCTCAGTGCCTGTCGTGTAAACAAGTACGCCTCCAACACACGATCCAGATCAGTCACCCTTAAATGAGTCCACTCAGGGGATTGAATTGCTTCGTGCATGAAACAATGACAGTTTATGTCACATGCTATGATTACTTACTCTGCATCGCGACGACACCGATCGCTAACAATCGACAACTCGTGACAGCAGTTTTACTAGTGTTTCGTAACGAGGATGATTTAGAGTGACCTCCCCTTTTGAGAGTATTTCTGCGATTGCTCCTGCTCTGAAACCATGTTCTTAAGAACGTGTTTATGTATTAGATGTGTTTATCAGGCGTGGCCTTTTTATGTCGTATTTAGCAATAGCGCTACAATACAATAATGGAGCACCAAAAGGTAATATGACCTGAAAAAACCAGAGGTTAAAAAATAACTTGAATAATAATTATAATGTGTCCCCCTATATAGCGCCAAACTCCGCACTAGGTATGCTCATAACGCTAACAATGAATAGCACAGTACATTATTAGTTTATTACCCCGGAAAACCTAAACTGCCTGTTAGGCTCTAGAAGGTAATAGTCACATGAATTATCCCACCGGGTACCCATTTTCTGCTGGGTGAACAGGGGCAATTTTGAACAGACTCACTTGCCTAAGGTGAGACCACATGCATCACATGTGCTTGGTTGTGGGGCAGGACAGAAGTCCTAGAATCTCTCAGTAGTCAAGCTGCCAAACACGGTCACCCATCAAAGAACTCTCCGCACTCAACGTTGCTTAACTTCACCTGGCCCCGGGATCATGAAAAAATCTTAAGTCTAAAATTAGCTTAGCACAAAAAAATCTTAAGTCTAAATTTTTTTGCTTAGCTAAGATTTTAGATAAGACTGGATCATGAAACTGTCTCAGCCAAATCTTAGCTAAGACTAAGACTAAGACAGTTACCATGGCAATTTTAGAATGATGTAATCATGTCCGGTCACTCTTAAATAATTGAGGAGAATAGTTTAGTAGCAGGCACCTGCTGAAATGTTCCAAACAAGTCAACTGACGCTTTTATCCCTGCCGCGGTGACTTTTAGTGTCTTTAAGGTTGGGATGTTTTCTAAATACACCAACACGAACGCCTAAATGCGCTTTCTGCCATATTGCATTGGATAGTGTTTTCAAAATCACGTTTCGCGAAGGCCGGTATTGAGACGCCTATTACATCACGTATATTTCCTATTCAACTGTGACAAATACATCACTGAATTCCTCATACATTTTAGTATCAAATAAGAAATGGTCTTTGTTACTAAAACCAAGTGTCTAGGTGATATGAAACGAACGCTGTGTGCGAAAGACAGCACTTGTTGAAATGTAACAAAGAAACATTGAGACTTTACACTGTGTACAGCATTTTCTCAAATTTCAGACACCCATTCGTCTATTCGTAGCATGCATAGGCTCAATACTTTTAGAACATACATGGAAATAGTATCGTAGCAAAAAATAATAGATACAATACAGTAATGTGATATGTTTATACGAAATTGTCAAAGTTTCTGTGCAGCGTAACGCCATGACTGACGGAAAATCTCGCAGAACAACAACGGTAATGATCGGCATATCTGGCTTCTTCTCTTACTTACAATGAAAACGATAAAACATGTAACAATACACAGATAGTCAGAATCATTCTGATTACTCACATCACACATTTATGTACAAACGATCCCCGAATCAAAGGAAAGGTCCTCGCAAAATCCTGTATACACATGTCACCGAAGCCGCCATTTTGTAAGAAATCGGTCAACGGTTGTGATGTCATATACGTCAACATTGTTGTTACATATTTGGCAATTTCTTTGAGGTGAAGGTCGGTTGAATAAGAGTAAACACAATCGCCATGTTCCACCGATTACACTTTCAGTGTATATTTTGAGTATCTTTCAGATATTTTTTCATGAAACTAATTTCATTATCTACATTTAGCCTTGTTCTATATCATATCCTTGGATATAGGGTATACGGTTTTCATTCTTTCAAGGGTTTTGTTTGTTTGAATAATATTTACATAAGAAATTGATATACTGAGTGTAGTACACCATATTTTAAACCCTAAACAAGTATTAAAAGAACAAACGAAGGCGTAACTGCAACATGTACTTAAATAGTTCATGTATCATGTGCAATATTCGCCATTCGGACCAATATTACAGTTGCATATGAACAGGTTATGAATAGCGATTTAACTTTCATGACCCCGGGGCCAGGGGTTGTGAAATATTCTTTTTAATTTACGTCAAATTGATGCCAAACAGGTGCGTGTGTTGTTCATATTAAGATACAAAGTCAAACCGTCTAATTGTGGATCTGTTCAGGACATTATTTAAATGGTAAAATCAGTCATTTCTGTCGCAAGTGTTAAATTCAGACATAGAAACCGAAACCTTTTACACAATTCATGGAAATTATGTGAGATATACTGATCAGCATACCAGTGTCGTTTTTTTCCGACGTCGCAAAATACATAAAACAAGCAATGACGTCAACTACAATTTTGTAATCTTTTCAGTAATTTCATTATATTTGAAGATATGGCTAGTACTCAGTAAATAATGATGCAAAATCCGTCAAAATACATCTACACAAACAGGAGAATATGTGAATTTAAGAACTAATTTACATATCGGATAGGGCCATCCAAATCGCTTTTACGTGCTTTCTCATGTAGTACATTGTCATCTTTTCTTATAACTTGTGAAACTACTAAAACGTATCCGCTCACATTGGGGAACTTTGTATTGGAATACATGTAGTTTGGTTCACGGTGAACAAAACATAAGGAAAATATAGCGTCCGTATCCACAACGAATTCTCTCCAAGTGATATGAGTTACATTGACCTAGTGTTAAGCATAGCGGAGTTATGCCCCCTTATCTTTATACGCGTATGACCTCTCTGTCGTCCTTTGACGTCATAGGAGGAAATCCATTTTTGACATTTATTGCGAGTCATTTTTAATGTTGAGCGTATAACGTTATGCATAAGCAAATAAACACATTTCATATATACTTCTGTCGTTCAGATATCAGGCTGTAATTTATTCGCTCACACTTTCTGTAAAGATGCCAAATTAAAAAAATCGTAGCACAGTGCTTTTACCGGTGCACGATCAAAAGCGGAGAAATTTACTGTTTTTGAATGCATAGCAAAATTTTGGACATCATTTAGCACTGTTTATTTCTCAAACCGCCGAGGTATTTGCATTTATACTTATACCAACGGATAGGAAATTTAATATTCCACATTTCTGTGTTATTTTATAGCTGTACGCAGATCCAGGACCACGCGAGCGCAAATCTCGCGCACCGTTCACTTTTCAAACCTTATGAAATTGTGCGCCTGAAAAAAAAACCTCGGCATCAAAAAGGACTTAAGACTGGTAGGTAGAAGTCTCAGGATTTAAGACAAAAAATGATCTCAGTCTTAACTTTTAAAACTAAAAAATGTACGTGATCCCCGATTTAAGACAATTTTTTGGACTTAAGATCAAAATGACAGACTTAAGCAAATTTTAGACTTAAGTCACTTTCATGACCCCGGGGCCAGGCTCAGCTATATGCAAAGGACCACACACCATCACTTATTATGAAAGTATAAGACGCATATACAAAGACATAGATATAATACTCTCCGTTAAGCTGTATAGAAAGGTATAAAAGATATTATTACCCACGTGGTACTTCGTAAAGGGGTTTCATAACAAAGTGTTCTGACACATATGTGTCATAACACCTTCGATTGATTTGATTGGCTAATACGTGAACTTTGACATTACCGGTACTACTTTCATCACTCATTCCATTCATGATTTTCATTCAGAAGTTTTCACACATTCTGAAAGCATGTAAAACGAGAACACTTCTATGAAATTAAATAAAATTTATTTTTTAGTGTAGTTACAAGCACAGGTGTTCAGTCCTTTAATAACTAAAATTTCTGTTCATAAAAACGAAAATAAAACAATCTAAATAAGTAAACAAATACGTCTGCTAGGACTATCGGGAGTGTAAACAAATATGGCGTCGCCCGTAAAAGTTAATGACTTGGTCAAAATTGACGGACAACTGGTTGGAAGAGTTGTGAATATTATCAGGCCATTGAATACATTCAACGTGTATGTTGTCAGGACAGCACAGGGAGAAAAGCAAGTACCTAGATACAGACTGAAAGTGTTGCCCGAGACTGTTTCGTTGGTCCCTCCCCCAAATTTGCCGATTGGCGATTATTGTGATCTGTCACAAGAACTGATTAATGAACTCTTTAGAGAGATGAGAATGATGTAGATCTTGGCCTAGATGCTAATTTCGACACAAATGATGAAGTATGGAATAAAGAAATTGATGACTTTCTGACCAAAAATGAAAATGAAAACACGGCAAAGAAAACAAAATATGACTTGAAAACGGTCTCATTTTATTTCCAAAATGTTCTGCAGGAACACAGATCTCTTGAAAAAATCCCCACTCGAACTGAATCAATTACTTTGCAAATTTTTCATGGATGCCAAAAAGCAAACGGGGACGAGTATGAGCCATCGTCACTCCGCGGATTTCGATCAAGTTTGGACCGCCATTTGAAGAGATTGAAATATCAAAATCAATTCTACTTGACCCCGAATTTGCTCGATCTAGGGAGGTGTTTACGTGTAAATTAAAGCACGTGAAGGCGGAAGGGAAGGGAACTTACCTAAAGCCGCCGAGGCCGTGTCACAATCCGAAATAAACAAACTTTGGGAAGTGGGTCAACTCGGAGAGGGTCTCCCGATGCTATTCTTAACACATTGTGGTGGAATAATACCATGTTTTTTGGCTTAAGATCTGTCCGTCCACACAGAAATATGCTCTGGGGAGATGTCTCACTTCGAGTTGACAGTGAGGGTCAGGAGTATCTTGAGTACTGCGAGCGACAAACCAAGACCCGCACCGGTGCTAATCCGAACGACACAAGACGGATTCCCCCGAGAGTATGGGCTGTACCGAGTGACCCTGCCAGATGTCCGGTAGCACTGTACAAGAAGTATCGTAGCCTCCGTCCTCAGAATTTCTCTTCAAATGATCATCCATTCTACTTAGCTTCACACACAAAGGGTGTCCCTCGTGATGGCGAATCTTGGTTTAAGCGACAGCCAGTGGGGAAAAATAAACTTGGAAACATCATGAAATCCATGGCACAACACGCACACTTGTCAAGTGACAAACGCTTGACTAATCACAGTGCGAGAAAAACCATGTTGCAAACTCTCAGTGAACATAACTTTGCACCTACACACATAATGCAGCTTTCAGGCCATAAAAATGTTGCTTCTGTGAATTCATATGCCAAAGTTTCTAATACACAACATCAAAGATGAGCGGCACCTTGGTATCTCGATCACTGCCACTGTCAGCCGCGTCCACTTGTCCTCTCGCACAAAACGTGTGTTCTACTGCCACTGCCATGCCTCCCGTGGTTTCTCATCTAGAGGTTGATAACACTTCTCACAGTCAGAACACAATCGGCTTGAAATCCTCTTCATTCGAGGTTGTAGGCAGTGTGTTTTCAGGCCCAATTCACGGTGGAGTATTCAACATAAACATCGAATCTCGACAAGTGGGAATTCCAGGCCGAGACGAGCCAATGTCCTCCGCCAAGCGTCGCCGTATTATCTACAGTGACTCGTCCTCCGATGAAGAATAGCGTGTAAGCAATGACAACGACACTAACCACAACTATTTGAGACATACAGTTCCCTGTTATTTACATTTGGCTTCTTCAGTTGTGTGTGTCGCTCCTAATGCGTAACTTTTATCTGCTTGTTTGTGAACAATTTTCAACACGACTATCCCGACAGTGATGGCCGACTGACGTTCAGGCGATATTTAGGTCACGTAGTTAAATTGAAAAGGTTTACAGTTTACAAGTGTTTTGATGAATTACATTATTGTATTTGAAAGCAAAACCTCTAATGAAAAGAATTAAATTTTGATTACGACTTGATTCCGTCATAATTTATTTATTATCTAGACTAGTTAAAGGAACTACATTGCCTCTACGCAGCATACGTTTCCCTGGAGTGAAACGGTCGACATTCAATCACCAATATGATATATTAATCCGCGCAGTGCGGTTCTATATAGGAAAGCAAGATATTGCTTTATTTTAACAATATTTTCATTTTAGAACGTGGGTAATAAATGGGATACAAAACTCGTTCCCCTTTCATATCAAGTTTATGTCCCTCGTGAAATAATTTTGCTTTGTCACTCGCTAAAGCTCGTGACAAAACAAAATTATTCACTCGGGACATAAACTAAACTTGATATGAAAGCTCGTTTGATATCCTATAAAGATCTTGAGAGAATGATACCTTGGACGTGGCTATCCATTGTTACCAACCGATTCACACATTAGTGACGTCACGTAACTGATATCTCTGCTTGTCTGTTGTTTGATGCCGCATTCTACAACATTCGAGGCATTCATCTGATCTATATTTTTGTGGTATTTTGGCAATACTGTTTGCATCTGATCTATATTTTTGTGGTATTTTGGCAATACTGTTTGCATCTGATCTATATTTTTGTGGTATTTTGGCAATACTGTTTCAAATGTCTCACCTGTTGGAAGAAATGTTGGAAGCACGTATAAAACTGTATATTTACAATGGTAAGATTCTGAAGGTTTCCGTGTCATTCTGTATTATTTCAAAGGGTTTCAGTGTTTAGCCTAAACTCATAAACAGTGCTCGCAAATAGTTACTGTGAAACTTTGTATGCACATTAAGTTCTGCCTTCTTTTTATTTTTGTTTTATGCGTTTCCAAAGCAACGGATCGGACTGTTAACAATGACATTGTGAGTATTGTGAGTCGTGCACCGAAAAAATGCCACATAACACGGGTATTGATGTCTCTACACAGAAGCCCGGATCCATTTCAAGATCTTGTGTTTTGCGAAACACTATTTGAATGATACAGCATCGAGCTATCAGAACAGATCTCTCCATACCAGCCTTCACGATGTCTAAGGTCTGAAAACCAACGCCTACTTGCAGTACCAAACTCAAGACTAAAATCCTACGGCAACAGATCGTTTCAAGTAGCAGCACCTCAGTTATGGAACTCACTACCTCAGAACATTAAAGAATACAAAGACATTATTATCATTAACGTGTTACATTGGAAGTCTTTTCTTTAATCCCATTAAAGCATTTACTCCGATGAGTACATTAATCCGCTACTACCCTGAGTGATATATGTTAAAGTTAAAAGATCCCGCTACAACAATTACGAAATGCTGCCTAACGACCACCAATACTGTTCAAACATGTACACAAGCAGTGATATACCTGGAATATTGTTAAACCAAACTCACTCACTCACTGAAACACCAATAATACGTGATGAAGGAGTAGTTTGTTAGTTGTTTAACGCCACCACCGTAATATCCCATATATCTATGAATAATCGAGTTTGGACAAGACAATCCAGTGATCAACAGCATGAGCATGATCTTCGCTGACCACCCGACCCCGTTAGTCGCCTCTTGAGACAAGCATGGGTTGCTGAAGATCAGTTCTAACACAGATCTTCACGGGTAGGAGTGTAGGAGCATCAAATGTAGCAGAATGTGAAGGCTGGGCATACAATTTCAAAAACATATCACAAAGATCCTTAACTGTTTTCTTCAGTAAACTCGTCACGCCGAAGACCCAGGTTCGAATCCCCACATGGGTACAATGTGTGAAGCTCATTTCTGGTGTCCCCCGCCGTGATATTGCTGGAATATTGCTAAAACCGGTGTAAAACCAAACTCAGTCAGTCAGTCAGTCTTCAGTAAACTATAAAACGATGCCTGTTTATACATTTTGCTATTTCAGACCTTTTCAGAAGTTCTCTCTTCTCTAGCAGAAAATAAGTCTGGACTTGAAGTTTGAACGTTAACAGGTTTTGTTTCATGAGTATAACCCTAAGTTTCAATATTGCTTTAAGACCTGTAAACGTAACCAATTTACAGACCTTTTCGCCTACATACCAAACCAGTAAGTTGCAATTGTCTTTATACTTTAATCATAAGGCAACACCACAGCCCCAATGTTATATTCAGAATAAGGTCTATCGGTGACTTTGTGTGCTTGTAATTTGGTGCCTCGCTCTGAGACTGTGGGTTCGAATGCCTAATGGACACAATCCCAAAAGTACTAGAATTTGTATTTTACGAAAAAAGTGTGACCCTTCCTTATATTTTATCCTGCAAACGCACTTTGGTGGCGAAATTAACTGTTAGTGTAGACAAAGTGCCTTAAATTATAAACAGTATTGATAGGAAATAAATTCACCCATGTCTGATACACAGATGAAATACAATTAACTATTAAAGCTACACACTAATAATCATGTTTATTACAATCAGTTTATACATCTGTATCATATATACTCGTATATTGCATCCAACAAATGTTAACAAGACCACTTGAAGATGTCCAAGATATTTTTATAGATTAAACTTCTTTTTAATTTCCCTCACAACGATTAAAAAGAAGTTTAATCCATAAAATTATCTTGGACATCAATGTACAACTTCTAAATGCCACTGAAAGACATCACTTGAAGATGTTCACAACAAGAAATGCCATCAGGTCATTGGCACTGTCAACATTATACACACAAAATATTCCAACCATATATCACATGAGCTCATGATTTGCTAAACATGTATTCATTAATTTTCTTGCAAGATAACATGATTCAGGAATAGATATAACACCTCATAACATTCACCATCATGAAGGAATGCAAAGTATTCAAACATCACATCTGTGGTATGTTATTTGTAGTAACAACTGGAAATATATGTACCAAATATAAACAATATAGCCCTGAGATGCAAGTGGAGATTTTTTATGAAATGGCAGACTCATAGCTCAATGTGAGGATGAGGGGATGTTTTATGCTGAAGTCAGCAATACTCATAGCTCAATGTTTGTACTGAAGCCTGAGCAAGGTGAACCAGTGGTTGATAACATGAGCAATGACAAATGCCACTGGGTCATGATGACAAACCACCAGCCAGGCTATGCAATGTATATTCCAATTCTCTTCAGTCAACCAGGCTTGGGTCCTGGGGATGTTTTCTTACCCTGAATCCCCTACCAGCATAGTGAGTTTAGTTTTATGCCACACTCAGCAATATTCCAGCTATATGGCAGCAGTCTGTGAATAATTGAGTCTGGACTAGACAATCCAGTGATCAACAGCATGACCATCAGTCTACACAATTTGCAGACGATGACGTGTCAACCAAGTCAGCGGGCCTGACCAACCGATCCCGTTAAGACACGCAAGGGTTGCTTGGTAGAAATGTTGTGTTTGCGTGATCATTGTACTTGTCTGATGCAAAAGCAACAGCTCATATGGCACATTTACCTGCACAACAATTATTTTGACCAGGTATTTCAATTTTCACATGAATAAAAACATAACCAATGCTCTATGACAGTCCCTCAAATTTGCTAAGAAAAACTTGCCCCTGTTCAATTGGAATCAAACCAACTTTGCTGCCTCCAGCCACTGCCCAGTAGGAAACATAAATCTGACATTCTTATTGGGTAAACAAATAATTATTTATAGAATCATTACTGTAGTCTCTATGCATTACTATATTCATCATGTATTAATTGCAAATAGCAGTTGGTGTGTTCCAGTCTATGACATGAACTGTCCCGGCCACTCGGTCATCTCCCGGTACACTCTGTTTAGTGAATCATCTCCAGTCTATGACATGAACTGTCCCGGCCACTCCGGTCATCTCCCGGTACACCAGGAAGGGAGACTGTTTAGTGAATGACAGTCGGTGTGTTCCAGTCTATGACATGAACTGTCCCGGCCACTCCGGTCATCTCCCGGTACACCAGGAAGGGAGGTCCAGGGAGGAGAGGGTTTTCAGCCGAGTACACCGTGCAGGTCTTGAAGGCACAGGGGGACTCCCTCCAGCTGTATCTGAGTCCCAGGATAGTCTGCCCCTCCCCACACACAGTGGAGGACAAAGCAATGCTGGTTGATAGGGAGGAGACGACTGGAGCGTCGGTCCAGTAGGGGGGTTGTGGTGGAGGTGGCCCATTTAACTTTGACTTGACACTGCACAAAGCCTGAAAGAGTTTATTAGGGCATTAATGACAGTTTGAAGTAATCAGCATCACCTTTAAAAACATTTCTTCAAAAATGCCATGTCTAAACTTTCCCAATGCCAAAGAACAGTTTCAAATGCAATTATTGAACAAGTTTTTCAGGCCTTTGGTCCAGAATAGTCGAGAATACTCGAGGTTAGAACTGGTCTTCAGTAACCCATGCTTGTCGTAGGAGGCAAATAACGGGATCGGTTGGTCAGGCTCGCTGACATGTCATTGTATCCCAATTGTCGTTGATCGATGGTAATGCTGTAGATCACTGGATTGTCTGGTCCAAACTCGATTATTTACAGACTGCCGCCATATAGCTGGGCTCAGTAGTCCAGGTATATTCTGGTACGTCAGCTGAATGTGGGAGGAAAGCCTAAAGTAATGCACATCGTGAGTGAGTGAGTATAGGTTTATGCGCTTTTAGCAATATTCCAGCAATATCATGACGGAGGACAGCAGAAACTGGCTTCACACATTGTGCTCATGTGGGGATTTGAACCCAGGTCTGTGGTGTGACGAGTGAACGCCTTAAAAATAATCACTTCTTCACCTTTTCACTTCTTCACCTTTGGTGAAGAAGCCTAAACTGTTCCAAGAACAAATGATTCTTTTGCTGAGAAAGGGTTGAATTTTACCAAGAATGTTTTTGTGCCTTTTTGCAAGTTAATCAATATTTCAACAGCTTATGATTTCAAATTTTTGGTTTACAAATGATTTAATTTCCTTGAAAATATATTACTCAAATAAGTTATTAAGCATCTTATAACTTCTGATTCATTTACATTTAGTTTACACTAATGACCTTTGATCACCTTACCCACCCAAACCTCTTAGTCATGTGTGTAACAATGTACAGTTTACCTCAAATCCATCCAGATTACGGTATAGTAAAGGTTGTTTGTAAGTAAGGTTGAGAGTGTTTGTCCCTTCAGTTATTGTCATGGGCCTCGGACCGTCTGCCAATAAGTCCCGATTGTATGCCACCCTCAGACCTCCAACAAGCAGACGCTTGCCCACATCTGTTTTGTCTCGAAAATGGACGCTGTAATGAGCATGCAGATTTTGTCACAGAAACAAGTTGTCCTGAAGAACTGTAGGTTCTTAAGGAATAAGGCTGGAACATCAGACTTACAATCAATTAGTTTCTGGAAATGGCAAATTTAATTAAGTATTGCAGTAGAGCTAAAATGATAAAGGCTGACTTTTTAATGATCTATAATAAACTATCAGTCCAAGATGAATTTCTATTTCATTTATATTAAACGTTACCCACAATTCCTGAGAAGATGAGCATGGAACATCGAGGGCATGATGAGGCTGGACTTTAATACTCACGGCCACCAGGGGGAGATAAAGTCTGCCAGATCCATGGCAACAGCCATGAATGTTTTCTCCATCTTAGGATTCGGAACATAGCCGTAGTCTGCGGTCTGGTGCCAGCGTATCTCTGGGAAGCCAGATGTGGGAGGATTGGGATTCATGGGACCCAGCTGTGGAAGTGATATGACAATTAGGTTTATAGGAACAGCCTGCTGTATCATCACAGGGGGAAATAGGACAGGGTTCCACAAACTGAATACATGGAGTGAGTGAATTTAGTTTTATGCCACACTTAGCAATATTCCAGCTATATGGCGGCGGTCTGCAAATAATCGATTCTGGACCACACAATCCAGTGATCAACAGCATAAGCATCGATCTACACAATTGGGATGCGATGGCATGCGTCAACCAAGTCAACGATCCCGTTAGTCGCCTCTTACGACAAGCATAGGTTACTGAAGACCAATTCTAACCCAGAACTTCATGGGTTTGTACCCATGGAAGATACTTGTAATTGCTAGTGTTTCAAAGCCAGGTTTTTTGCATGAAAGTCATAAGTTTGTATTGAGGACGTGTCCTAGTATCAGTTTTTTTGCCGCACATCTCAAACATTTACAGGAATTCTTTTAACGGCAAAGTCAACTCACTTGTGGAAATCTGAGAGGGTGTGCTATGGTGAACGCCTCTTTCAATGGACACCTTATATTTCCTCCAACTATGTTTTTGTACACCCTTTGACTTCTGTATATATATTGTACACAGATTTATGTTCTCAGTCCTTGATGATCGCACAGAGCTGAAAGTTACCTGAACAAATCCAAAAGGGAAGAGTTTGTCAGTCTGTCCTAGTGATCCCTGGTTGAACTTGAGTCTCCAGTCTGAGATCATTGCAGGGAAGGTGCAGTTGTACTTGTGGGTGTTGGCGCCAGGCATGGCATTGTTCTCTCCTGTATGGGGAGGAACAGAGAATTCTTTAGATTTCTCTTCAATAAAGTGTAAGATAACCCACTACAATATGACTGATGAACATGCTGAAACAATATGGTAAACCATATACACCCAACACACCGTAGGGAACTACAGCAGGAGATACACCTCAATATGGAAATTTAATAGTTGCAGCTAGCAGCGCTGACTTTTATTTATCAACCTGAATTCCATCCAACCTCCCAAAAACTCAAACAACATTGTGTTGAACAACAGTGTGTCAAACATTAAGTTGTCTGGTAGAAAATGTTTGGTCCCTTCAAATATATTCTATATTCATCAATTTTCAGTTATGTCGAATCACAGACATCTATAAGTACTTATGTAGGTTCCTTCAACTTTGATACAACAGTGTTAGACTGTACTCACATAAAACCTTTTTCTTTTGTTGGCTTGTTCTTTAACGCCGCACTCAGCAATATTCCAGCTATATGGCAGCCATCTGGACCAGACAATGCAGTGATCAACAGCATGAGCATTGATCTATGCAACTGGGATGATGACATGTGTCAACCAAGTCAGAGAGCCTGACCACCTGATCCCAATAGTCGCTTCTTTCGACAAGCATGTGTTCCTGAAGACCAATTTTGAATCAGATCTTCACAGGTCTCTTGCTCCTAATATAATATGTCTATGACACACTCTCAACTAATAGTCTGTATCCATGTATCCAACTAGGTTTATTTATGCTATGGCTATACTGATATCCCTGAAGTTGATCTGACATGATGACTGTACCTTGGTACCAGATGGCTCCATATATGGTCATGTTGAGTAGAGGGTGGATCATACAGTTCCACAGCTGGGTGGGGGTGAGCTGGTTCCGGTAGCCGGGTGTGTACCTCTCACTCTCATCACTGCAGGGGGGCAGACAATAGTAACTACACAACTGGATATGAAGCATGCATCTGTCTGAATGACTAGGATAAGGCCATAGTATTCATTACTGTCAGGGACCCAAATGAGAAATATCTTGTATTTATAGAGAATGCAATTTACTGCCAAAGACATCCATTATGTAAACCATACAAGTTATATGTTCTGCAATTGCACAATCACCCGGTCACCGGGTGTAAAAACCTTGGAGTCAACTTTGTGTGCAGATTCTTCAGTGTTGTCACAACCCCTAGTGTACAGTACACAACCCTGTGCACTTAAAAGAACCCACAAATCCGTTGGTATATGACCAGATGGTGGCCACATGAATACGTGCAAACACCTAGTTGCAGGTACAGCAACATGCAGTGAACTTGGACAATGTGTCCCAGTCCACCCAACTTGTAAATGGGTACCTCGTTAGGATGTGAAAGCCACAATAACTGGGTGCGCCTTGTGGCTGCAAGAGTTGCATACTCCCCAGGGTGTTGAGATTGATAACACGATGTGCCTTTGAGATTGACATCCAATGATTGAGGGGAAAAAATACCAGCGCCTTGAGCAAGCACTAGTTGCCTGGATATGTGCGCTAAATATTGTATAATAATAATATGAACCTGTTCACTTTAACAAATGTATTTTCAGGATCTAAAAAATTCAAAAAGCATAGGTACCCGGTAAGACTGTTTTTTTCAAGTCTTTCATCCAAGTTTATTTATGATGAGATGTCAAAACAAAGCATTGACATGTATGGCAAAATAACTCAAGTTTGGTTGGCATTTTCACTCATTTATTCTAAGCATTTCAGTATTTCAAAATTGTGCATGTTGAACAAGGCTGTCAGTAATTTGATGATGTCTTTAGATTTTCCTATCAATATTAAAGTATTACATAAGTCTAAAATCCTATCTAACCCTGACCTAGCTACAGTAGAAATATTTCTGCAAATATAGACGTACATGTACATGAACGAGTCCACAATCTCTGTAGAGGAAATTCCACACTGTGCTAAGGCATCTCTTGAAGACCAGGCCTCAACGGGTGTTCCGCCGTACGACGTGTCAACCAATCCAATCGGATATCCCAGTTCCTGGTAGAGATACTTGCCGTACAGCCAACACACAGCGGAGAAATACACGCCAGTACCATCAGCTAGTGTCCCTGATGACAGACACCATCTGTCCTTACTCCAATGATTTTCGAGGTGATCTAAATAGGACCTATCCAGTTGTCCCGCACAACTGCTTTTAAGCGTCACTTCAATTTCATCATCGTGTAAAAATATCAGTCTTTACCATGATGGATGAATCAACATTAACACAGTCATACATAATTATTCCAAAACTATGTGTTCATTTGAACCTGTTACTGACAATTGTTGCTGAATTTCTACTTTAAATATGGTGTCATAAGATCAAGCAGTAATTATCATGTATATGCAGACATGAACATATTTTATAAGGGAAAACTTCTTACTCTTGTTTGGTAGGACCCAGCCCTCATTGATGGAGAGCAGGTCAAGTGTTTCTACAGGATAATACTCAAGGGAGACATCAAACAGACGGATGTGGGGATAGTTGACTGCATCAGCCAGTTCAGCAGAGCCATTGAACATCTGAAGACACACACATGCAGTGTCGACATTACTCAGATGTCTGGCAAAGTAGCAACTCTGCTATAGTACCATCTTGTAGCCAAACATAACTAGCCAGCCATTGTACGTTGTGTAGTTTTACCTGTGCATGAACTTGTATTGCTTGACATATTATGTTTCAATGCGGATTACCAATTGTTTAAAATTTGGAATTCTGAACTGACATATCTTAGGATGTTGTAATAAAGAGCATGAAATTTAGTTGCAAGCTGCCATATCATGGCATAAAATAGTTTTTTCATTTTGTTCCTAAAGCAAAAAACTTAATTTCTTTGGTTCCAGCTCAAAACATGAAGAACCTCTATTTGATATTTGGGAAGAATTACAAAAAGCAGATACTTATCACAAGCAACACCAGGGATTTACAGGACACGAATTCCTGTGTCTTATACGCATAAAAATTGACAATGGACAAATGAAATTTACTAGCGCATCCACAGGGATGCAGAAAAAGTCCAAATACTTGTGTAAAAATTCCAATCAAGTAACAATAAGTTATCACTAAGTTGGCTACTAGCTGAGTTATGGTATCATTTGCAGTTTCATTACTGTAACAATTAAAGTGTTGATCATGATACACAATACAATAACAGTATTAGTAATAATATTTACATGTCTCAGACCCCATTTTGCTGTCCAGGACCCTGAAAATTATAAGTATGAGTCCCAGGGTCCCTCAAATACAGGACTCAAGGTAACTCCCTGCAGCACTTAACAGGAGCACACCTTATCAACTGTAAACTGCATGTTGGACTGGCCTGAGCAGATCCACACATCCCCAAACAGGACATCCGTCAAGGTGATCGTCTCCGTAGCTGATGAGGCTGTGATTGTAAACGGTCCTGGCTGGGACACAGGGGGCAAGGTCACCTTCCAGATGCCGACACCGTAGGTGCTGTCTTTGTAAACCCTTCCTGAGACTGTCTCCTGACCTTCCACCTTGACCTTGATGACCTCTCTGATGTTCGGGGAGTACCCCCAGATGATGGCCTGTTTCGGTGCCCTTTGTAGAACCATGTGATTCCCATAGTAGGAGGCGAAGAAGATGCTAGGATCTGCAGTTGATGACTTGTTGGCTGAAAAAAAGATATAGTTGAAGTAATGCATAATTATATTCAGAGCTATATTGGGCCTGTGCTATGTTTTGGATTAAACCAGGGGTGGAAATAACTTTAATATTGCTAGTGTACACCGGTGGTGGCACATGTAAAATCACTTGCCCTGATAATTTTTCCTCTATACCGGCCGATTTTCTTGTTGATTTTTTAAATAAATAACATAATTAACATTGGAAAGTCAACTGGACATTGGTACAGCGTGATATACAAATTTGCTTGCCCGACTGGAAAAACATTGGACTCGGACGTCGGGCAATGGGTTATTTCCACCCCTGTAAACCATTGTTTATTTGTTGTTTGTTTTGACATCAGCACTATTTCAGTTGCTTTACTGCAGTTTGTAAATAATCACGCCTGGTATTGATATCAGGAGCAAAGAGTTGTTGGTTTGTTGTTTAACGCTGCACAACATTACAGCTGTATGGCGGCAGTCATGGGCATTTCTTTGTTTCAATAGTATTACAGCTGTAGGATGTTGTTTGTTAAAAAGTCGAGACTTGACCAGACAATATAATGATTGCGATACATGTGTTTATGAATCACTATGAAACCGAGATGATACCAGGTGTTCACGAAAAGTTGATTTTTGGTTAGTTGGTGTGTAGTTTAATGCCATACTCAGCAATATTCCAGCTATATGTCGTCAGTCTGTAAATAATTGAGTCTCGACCAGACAACCCAGTGATCAACAGCATGAGCATCGATCTATGCAATTGGGATATGATGACATGTGTCAACCAAGTCAGCGAGCCTGACCACTTGATCCCATTAGTCACCTCTTACGACAAGTATGGGTTGCTGAAGACCAATTCTAACCCGGATCTTCACGGGTCCACGAGCTGCGCCGTGTGGGTACAACACGACAGGCTATCACCCAAGTCAGCACACATGCAGAGATTGGCCACCCAATTAACTGAATCACTTTGCACAACAAATGAAATAACGCAGAAACTGAAAACAACTCCATCTTCACTGGCACTATTATAACATTTTCATAAATACCAATTAACAATATCTAATCAATAGCTATATAGACCTACTTGTTTACTATATTACATTTCTTTCTGGTTGCTAAATAGACTTTATGTCATATAGTATAATAGGAGCAGTATGTTGCACAAAGTCCAAGGTTACTTGCAACAATATTGAAATGTTCGTATTTCATTTCCTAATCTTAGAACACTGTTTTCATAGGAATGGATACCTTATAAATAGTAAAAACTGTAACTAAAAAGAAAGCACTAAATGAAATAATATGTGAGTGTTTGTGAGTTAATCCTATGGTAATCACTTGCAAACAATGATAAAATATAGTATTTACAGGTTGTACTTCAACATGATAATGACAGCTATGGATGTGTCATGGTGATCCGGTGGCATACCTTGAGACTGCAGTGTGTGAGAGTGTGATTGTATATCTAACTCCCCAAACCTAATACATTATACAGAGCATGGCTAAGTAAGACTTACACTCACACAAGGCACTGCAGCCTCTATAGGTTTGTCCACGTTAACTATTTCCAATTATAACTCATGCTGTTAATCACGGGATTGTTTGGTCCAGACTCGATTGTTTACAGCCCGCCACCATAGATACAGCTGAGTGCGTCGTAAAAGTAAACTCATTCACTCCAATTATAAAATCAGGGTTTGTCTTATTTACCTTTGCTCCAAACTTCATGTTGAAAGATCCGATTAGTGTGTCTACTTTGTGTAGTGGAGGCTGTCCATAGCGACAGGATTACAAGTGACAGGTTGAAACTAATGAATGTAATACATGAATTCATCTCGCTGGATCCGTTGGCGTTGCTCGGTGTGCCCGGAATCAAATTATGGCTTCAAACGAGAAACGTTTGACAACTCGTGAGTGTCAGCTAGATCTGTGCATTTATCTGACAACAGGGATGTTATTTGTGCATAAAATGTAACACATAAACAACGCCGACCCTGTCCACGGGGATCAAAATCATTCACATCATGTGACGAGCACGACGATTACAAAAGTAAACAAACTAGAGTTACTCCCCTTCACATCTGATCAGGGCCAGGGGGTAATCGATATCTTGCATGCCCATATATAGTCTACACTGCATGTGTGTGCTAGTGTGTCTGCGCGCTTGCGATACTGTGATTAAAATTGTTGTTTGTTTTTGTTGTTGTTGCTTTTTTTTTATAATAGTGTTTGAATGTTTAATTAAATATAGTATGACCAAAAATTATTGAGAATTTTAGGAATATGTTTAATTGGATTTCTAGATAAACAACCTTGACCAGCTATCAAGTGCTTGGTTTCATTCAAGAGAGACAACTCCGTTAATCCTTTTTCATTAGTTTGTGAAGAGTTATCCCCCTTTGTTTACTTGCTGGCAGACGACATTTTCAGTGATCCTCAGTATGGATGATTTAGAGAAGAGGAAGCTGATTTTAGAGTATTATAACAAGGACATCAGATCAGCTAAAGTGATTTCAAGTAGAACAGGCATCCCTTTGTCCACTGTTTATCGTGTTTTGAAAAATATTGCAATTGGATATGGCATTGAGCACCAGGGAGGCGCAGGTAGGCCCAGAAAATTGACTGTCGGTGACAGGAGGCGGCTTGGTATTCTTGTTTCTAAAAACAAACGAAGGAGTTTAGAAAACTTAAGGCTGGATATGATTGATAGAGGACATGTGGCTGTCTGTAAGGAGACAATTAGAACTGAGCTGCATGCAATGGGTTGGCAGAAAAGTCGAGCAATTCCATCACCGATCATGAAATCTGAACAAAAGGAGCGAAGGTTGAACTGGTACGTGCTTACAGCATAGAAAATTTAACTGGGACAATGTGATTATCTCAGATGAAAGTTCTTTGTGGCTGTTTTCTAATACACTGAAATTCTGGACCAAACAAACTGAAAAACCTTTGTATCAGCGCAGTCCGAAATTTAAAGTGTGGGGTGGCATATCTGTGTTAGTGGCAACGCCCCTCTGTGTATTTGAAGGGAATATGAACAGTGAGCGGTACACAGACATTCTCGAGGGACATTTACTTCCATCTGCTCACGTGTTCTATGGAAATGTTTGGATTTTCCAGCAGGACAACGACCCAAAACATCGTTCAAAGCATTCACAGGCCTGGTTTCGGACCCAAAATATGACATTATTAGATTGGCCAAGATATAGCCCTGACCTAAATCCAATAGAAAATGTTTTGGGACTTATGAAGGAAAGTGTCAATAAGAAAAATCTCACAAATATTGCTGAAATGAAAGAAGAGGGGGTCCGATATTTGGACAGCATGGACCACGACTTTCTAACTTCTTTGATCAGTAGTATGCCCCGCCGCATTGAAGCCTGCATTGCTGCCCATGGTGACTTGACAAAATGCTAACTGTTCACCTGTCTTTGAATCTGGAGTTATGTTCCGCTAATATTCACATTTAATACTTGAGTAATGAGTGAAAAAAATACAAAATTTACAATCTTTAAATTCTCAATAATTTATGGCTGTACTGTATATATACTCATGCCAATAATGGTTGTCACCCCTTCTTCTTTTTAATATGAGAGGGGTGGGGGGTGTGTGTGGGGGGTTGGGGTGCGTGGGAGGGAGTGACAACTATTATTGGCATGAGTATACTACAGTACTTATATATTCTGGCCTGCACATTCATATTAATATATATTCAAAGCCTACATAGTGGTTAACGCGTTCGCTCGTCACGCCGAAGACCCGGGTTCGATTCCCCAAATGAGTACAGTGTGTGAAGCGTGATATAAATGAAATATTGCCAAAGGCGGCGTAAAACCAAAGTCACTCACTCCCTGACAATGACATTTCCACAATTCATTTAACCAACATGTATTCCTTACACATTTCATACCTTTTTTTTATTATACATTTCTAAAATTCACGTAAAAAACTCTTTCATTCTACATTTCAAACACTCATTCAGTTTACATTTCGAACATTTATTTATTAGTTGAATGAATAATCAACCAGTTAACTCGGGGAGCAACCTGTGATGTTTGTCCTCAAGTAGCCCTCAGTGCTGGATTTGGGTCTTAAAAGGGCTCTCTTTTACGTACAATTATACAAGTAACTAATTTAGGTAATAAAGTGAAGACTGACTGTGGCATATTATTGTTTAATTATTTAAACTATTACATTCGGTTAATGTATTTATCTAATCATGATGTTTTATGAAACACACATCAAACAAGGTCAATGTCATATATACATTGTATTTTCATTGTGTGTACGGATTCCCTATTCTGAGACATGTTCCTTGACTTGATAAGCAACCTTCTATTTATCTTTTTTTCTGCACCACCTTTTTCTTGACAGTTATTTAAGGACTGTTACTATGTGTTCGAACTTTCGGCCGAAATCGGTTACAAAGGACGATTTTTCAAACATCAGCAGAGAATGAAACTACGAGCAAGTACCGTGGGACATGGGGATCTGTACGCCGTTGGGATTCCATATCAGGACGATCCTTAGTGACTCGAGAGGATGAGGAGTCCGTTACTTGGCGATGTCGCTCATAACATAATTGCTCGATTTTCTAAGAAGCACTTGCCCGTATGTGCATATGTGCATTAACAAAGCACCACCTGAATCCAAGATAATTTTTAACAATTGGTTCAATCAGGCGATCATACCCCAGCATACCGGAACGCGCGGGTAAAGCGCTTGCTCAAAAGCTATGGGTCGCATGTTCCAGTGATGAGTAGGCGCCAAGTGCATTGGGGTATACATTTATAAATTATAAATGTCATAACTGCAGTTTGTGGACTACAGTTTTCCGGACTGATTTTATAAGACGACAGCACTAAATTAAACTGAATTCACCTTTCTTGACATGGTGGGTGAGTGAATTTAGTTAACGCCGCTTGTAGCAATATTCCAGCAATATCACGGAGGGGGACACCAGAAATGGGATTCACACATTGTGCAAATATGGGGAATTAAACCCGGGTCTTCGGCGTCACGAGCAAACGCTTTAACCACTGGGCTATCCCACCGCCCCTGACATGGCAAGACGTAGACTATCAGAAAATATACGATGGCAGGTTACTGGTACGCATGACACAAGGATGTCCCGTCGCAACATTGGTGTTGAACTTCAATTGGTAGTTATGGATGTCAAGCGAGGAAGAGAAGTTGATATCCATAAATTTTAGGCATTTCCGTGTATCATTTCTATATGCCATTCCAGAAACGCTTGTGTGTTTGTAAGGAGCATGTTCTTCTAAATGCAAACAGCACACAGTAACTGTTACGTAATCAGGGGATCACAAAATAATTTAACGCTTATGCAATGCCACGACTCCGCAGCTATAACAGTGATGGTCCAAAACAAAGTTGGCAGACGAATTATCATGACATATGTTCAACAAAAGAAAATATGTCTTTGAAGGAGTTATCAGCAGACAACGCTCTATACTTGCCACCCATCGGTCGGTCATATTCAACAACCATACTCAGTTGGTGCAGGAATCGATAACTACCACATTAACAGCTCGGACCATTCCTGGTTCGAGATCAGTTTGTTGGCAAAACTGTTCGCAACCAGCTGAGGAAACACAACGTTCGGATCCTGACTAACGCTTAGTATCTGAATACATAATGTTTTTATTAGAAACAAATAATCCCTTTTAACTAAGAAGGAGCCCCATTCAAGGTGGGCAGGGCGAAATGTACTGTAGTTCAGTGACTGTGAGACAGACTAAGTCCGACCCCGATGTCCTGCGATACGCCTTAGATTGCTTCCACCTCACTGTCATGCATAGAAAGGGGCGGTGGGGTAGCCTAGTGGTTAAAGCGTTGGCTCGTCACGCCGAAGACCCGGGTTCGAATCCCCACATGGGTACAATGTGTGAAGCTTATTTCTGGTGTCCCCCGCCGTGATTTTGCTGGAATATTGCTAAACTCAGCGTCATGCATAGCATAGCTTGGTGTAGACAATATCTGAAGTCCAAGGGACAAGACAGTGACCACATCCTGGTCACAGATCAGTCCCGGTTTCATCATGACAGCTCTGATGGTCATGCAAGGGTCTACAGGATAATGTTTCATGCTGGCAGCATTCAAAGTCATCACAACATGGTATCCCTTCTTATGGAGTGAGTGAGTTTAGTTTTACAAGGCACTCAACAATATTCAGCTATATGGCGGCGGTCTGTAAATAATCGGATCTGGGCCAGACAATCCAGTAATCGACATAATGAGCATCGTCCTTCGCAACTGGGATACCATGACATGTGTTAACCCAATCCCCTTAGTCGCCTCTTATGACAAGCGTTGATTAGTGAAGAACAATTCTAACCCGGATCTTCACGGGTCCCCATCTTATGGAAGAACATAAGCATCATTGTTAATGGCAATTATGACCTATAGGCTACCGTGACGAGGTCGTTGGAGATCATGGTCTACCACTCGAGAAGAAGCTGGGACGTAAGGTCACGGTGCATGAGGTTGATACCCACCTATAGGTTGCACATGTTGTAACAGCACGCCTAGGACAGGACCAGAACCAGTCAGCTGCACTGGTCCAGGTGGGACAATGCTTGGCTGACATTTAGAACAACACCCGCCACTGGATTTTGTCAGTGAACCTTTTATGATGAAACATTGGTAAGAAGAAGGAACAACTATAGTTTAAATATTTTCAATAACTCTTACATCTCCTTATATGAAGCATATGTACTACATGAATACTGTATGTGTATATGTATATGTGTTTTTTATATTAAAACATTTTTGACACATTTAAAAAATATAGATTTTTACTGAAATGGGACTGTGCACAAAATGAACATAAATATGTATACAAAATAAATCAGAATAGCATTGGTCAGATACATCCTGAAATATAATACTTTCTGTAAAAAGTAATAATTGTTGAATTGTTTTATGCATGGGTTAACCATGGGTAAACAAATTTGTTATGTATATAACTTCATTCGATGCTATAAAACATGACTAAATACATTTGAGACCATTTTATAGAACTATTAGTATAAGTTAGTATTAGAGGTGATCTGCAAACATTAAATCTCCAAATATTTCTGATTGGTCGCAGGAAAATATTGCTTATATATTGATCCTACTTCAACTTGAGTAGTCAGCTCTTCAAACTCTGGCAGATTTCCTAATTTGTGTTAACTAATTTCATATTTTTGCAGATGGAGTTATTTCCCTTTACAAAATTGAAGACCATTAGCTGCTAAGGACATTCCAATACTTGAACATCTGGGAAGTCAAGAAGTGAGGTCATTTCAAAGAACGGCAGACAGATTGATAAAGTTTTTCACATAAATTGGTCCAGCCACCCTGGCCATCTTCTGGACCATTCGGAAGGGAAGTCCAGTCAGAGTGTTCCTGTATGAACTGTCAGCTGGGTCATCTGGTACACCAGGAAGGGAAGTCCAGTCAGAGTGTTCCTGTATGAACTGTCAGCTGGGTCATCTGGTACACCAGGAAGGGAAGTCCAGTCAGAGTGTTCCTGTATGAACTGTCAGCTGGGTCATCTGGTACACCAGGAAGGGAGACTGTTTAGTGAATGACAGTCGGTGTGTTCCAGTCTATGACATGAACTGTCCCGGCCACTCCGGTCATCTTGTTGTATGCCAGGAAGGGAGGTCCAGGGAGGAGAGGGTTTTCAGCCGAGTATACTGTGCAGGTCTTGAAGGCACAGGGGGACTCCCTCCAGCTGTATCTGAGCCCCAGGATAGTCTGCCCCTCCCCACACACCAGGGAGTACAGTGTGATGCTTCTGGGGAGGGCAGACAAGATGGGGTTGGGGGTCCAGATTGTGTTGTTAGTGCTCGGCACAGAGCACAGTACCTGAAACATACCCTCTTTATGTGAAACAAAGTACCTCAGTTCACATGAAGCATTGCATCTCTCTTCATAACAACCCACTTTCAATTATATACAGTGAGACCCGGATACCCGGACCCAAAATATCCGGAAACCTAGATTTCCTGTCAATTTTCATAAAAAAACAATCTCTTAGTTATAAAAGTGACTGTCTATAATGGATATGCGGTTTCGTTCCCGGACGGTAAACTTTACAAACCAGCCAGCTAAATAAACACAAAATTGACTCACTTATCTGCATGAAGCTTTTATCTTCCGCTGACCGTGTGAAGTGAAGTGAATTGTAATTGGCAAATCAAGATGACCATATTGCTTTGTAAGTGATTTTAAACCAGAAGTGTATGCTCACTACCGTTTCAACACCTAAGCCTGGATGACAGAAATCCAGATCTCCGTATATTCAGTTATCCGCACAATTTACGCAAAAACGAATGTGTTCGGATATCCGGGGTCTCACTGTCTACAAATACCATTTGAAAATATGCCAGTCATTCAATGCCCTGCTCAATTGCTATTACATGAACTTATGTCATTTTGACAGTCAAGCCGTTAAGATATTTCTGAAATAGTTACTTGTAGTAATATTTCGTTCTCAAATAAGTGTCATGCAGACCACAGAAAATCAATGTTTAATTAAGTTTTTAGAATTCCTACAGAGATCAGATCTTCATAATAAAACCATGGAACTGAAATGATCAGCTGAACATCTTGCCAACAGTGATTCCACACTCACCTCAAATCCTTCCAGATTACGGTACAGGATTTTTTCCTGATAAGTCAGGATAAGCTGGGTTGAGTTCTCTACAACTGTGGTAGGTAGAGGGCCAGCAGATAGCACCTCCTTACCATAGGCTACTCTCAGTCCACTCAGGTACAGTCTCCTAGCAACGTCAGGCTTGTCTCGAATATGGACCCTGGGAAATAGAACCGAAATGGTACATGTAGGAAAACTTCTTTATTGCAATGAGTGCGACATTTCGGTGTAGGTACTAACACCCTTATCAAGCAAGTGTTAGTTGACTGTCCATTGAACTTGGTTTTCCTTCATCTTTACAATTTCTAAAATGCCTCTCAAAGAAGTTATGGTACATGTATTTTAAAATACTGCCAGATTTAATGTTCAAATTGTGAGACTCAGGAACAGATTAAGTTTTTATCGTACAGAGAAAAATACACGCGTTCCAGTCAAGTGAGACAAAATGTTTTAATGTATCTCACAGGGCCTCCTTCTATGAATGTCCTTTGTTTTACAAGAGATACATGATGGACACTGAAGTACACAATTCTGGAGTGGAGATTGGAGTTAGCTTGGGCACAGTGATATCAATCAAAGTGTACACACGATCCATATGGAGATCCAAAGTCTGCCAGATCCATGGCAACAGCCATAAATGTTTTCTCCATCTTAGGATTTGGGACATAGCCATAGTCAGCGGTCTGATGCCAGCGGATCTCAGCATACCCAGATTGTACAGAAGGCTTGGGGTCCTTGGGTCCAAGCTATATTGTAAGAGGTAGGTTGAGGTTATTCCAGTGCAAATCTATATTGCGATAATTCAAAATACAGATATAAAGCCGGAATATACTTTTATGCCATTGATGCTGGGACAATCTACCTCCTGCTGTGGCATAACACACTGCTGGGACAATCTACCTCCTGCTGCCTTGTGTTAACAAAGGGGTGCCATTCATACACTGTCTTACTGGCATAACACACTGCTGGGACAATCTACCTCTTGCTGTGGCATAACACACTGCTGGGACAATCTACCTCTTGCTGTGGCATAACACACTGCTGTGTGACTCAAGTCAAAATATAGAAGAATATGTGGTATCAAGCCAATAGATACAATAAACAAAGACATTTCTTCAGCAACAGTTATGAGCTCCAAATAATGCTACTTGAATTTAATGTTGCACCATATTTTAGACATACCAATCAACAGGAACTGCCTTGTACAACAAGTTGGACAGAACAAGTTACAACATATTTTGATATGGCTGCCCTATGATCAAATTTAGACATTAATAAGTGAGCATTAAAATGACACAATATCTAGGCAATATTCAGCTATACAGGATTGAAAATCTGACAACATCCCATGAATATTTGTGGAGAACTACCTGAACAAATCCAAAAGGGAAGAGTTTGTCAGTCTGTCCCAGTGATCCCTGGTTGAACTTGAGTCTCCAGTCTGAGATCATTGCAGGGAAGGTGCAGTTGTACTTGTGGGTGTTGGAGTGAGGTATGGCATTGTTCTCTCCTGCATATTGGGAGACAACATGTCAGAGTTCCCCCTTGGTAATGTGACAGGTGAGAGTAGGAGATTACTGGTGTGAGGGTAAGAGATCAGTGGGGTGAGGGTGGGAGATCAGTGGGGTGAGGGTGGGAGATCATGGGTGTGAGGGTGAGAGATCAGTGGGTGAGGGTGGGAGATCAGTGGGGGTGAGGAGATCAGTGTGGGGGATGGGAGGGAAATCAGTGGGGTGAGGGGGAGATCAGTGGGTGAGGGTGGGAGATCAGTGGGGTGAGGGTGGGAGGTCAGGGTGGGAGATGGGTGTGAGGGTGGGAGATCAGTGGGGTGAGGGTGGGAGATCAGTGGGGTGAGGGTGGGAGATCAGTGGGGTGGGAGAGGGTGAGGGTGGAAGATCAGTGGGGTGAGGGTGGGAGTGAGGGTGGTGGGAGATCAGTGGGGTGAGGGGTGGGGTGAGAGAGATCAGTGGGGTGAGGGTGGAAGATGGGTGGGTGAGAGGGTGGGAGATCAGTGGGGTGAGGTGGGAGATCAGGGTGGAGTGGGAAGATCAGTGGGGTGAGGTGGGAGATCAGTGGAGATCAGTGAGGGGGTGGGAGATCAGTGGGGTGAGGGTGGGAGATCAGTGGGTGAGGGTGGGAGATCAGTGGGGTGAGGGTGGGAGAGATCAGTGGGGTGAGGGTGGGAGATCAGTGGGGTGAGGGGTGGGGAGATCAGTGGGGTGAGGGTGGGAGATCAGTGGGGTGAGGGTGGGAGAGATCCAGTGGGGTGAGGGTGGGAGATCAGTGGGTGTGTGAGGTGGGAGATCAGTGGGGTGAGAGGTGGGGAGATCAGTGGGGTGAGGGTGGGGAGATCAGTGGGGTGGGAGGTGGAGGTGAGATCAGTGGGGGTGAGGGTGGGAGATCAGTGGGGTGAGGGGGTGGAGAGATCAGTGGGTGAGGGTGGGAGATCAGTGGGGTGAGGGTGGAGAGATCAGTGGGTGTGGGGTGGGAGATCAGTGGGGTGAGGGTGGGAGAGATCAGAGGGTGGAGGGGGGTGGTGGGAGATCAGTGGGGTGTGGGAGATCAGTGGGGTGAGGGTGGGAGATCAGTGGGGTGAGGGTGGAGATCAGTGGGTGAGCGGTGGGAGATCAGTGGGAGATCAGTGGGTGGGCCGAGGGTGGAGAGATCAGTGGGGTGAGGGTGGGAGATCAGTGGGGTGGGTGGGAGATCAGTGGGTGTGAGGGTGGGGGTGGGGAGATCAGTGGGGTGAGGTGGGAGATCAGTGGGGTGAGGGTGGGAGAGATCGAGTGGAGTGAGGTGGGAGATCAGTGGGGTGAGGGTGGGAGATCAGGTGGAGAGGGTGGAAGATCAGTGGGTGAGGGGTGGGAGATCAGTGGGGTGAGGGTGGGGAGATCAGTGGGGTGAGGTGGGAGATCAGGGGTGGAGGGTGGGAGATCAGTGGGTGGGGTGGGAGATCAGTGGAGTGAGGGTGGGAGATCAGTGGGGTGAGGGTGGGAGATCAGTGGGGTGGAGAGGGTGGGAGATCAGAGGGTGTGAGGGTGGGAGATCAGTGGGGTGAGGGATCAGTGGGTGAGGAGGGAGATCAAGTGGGTGGGGTGGAGATCAGTGAGGTGAGGGTGGGAGATCAGTGGGTGTGAGGGTGGGAGATCCAGTGGAGGTAAGGGTGGGAGATCAGTGGTGGTGTGAGGGTGGGAGATCAGTGGGGTGAGGGGTGGGAGATCAGTGGAGGTGGGGTGGGAGATCAGTGGGTGAGGGTGGGAGATCAGTGGGGTGAGGGTGGTGGAGGTGGGGTGGGTGGGAGATCAGTGGGGTGAGGGTGGGAGATCGGTGGGGTGAGGGTGGGAGATCAGTGGGTTGAGGGTGGGAGATCAGTGGAGTGAGGGTGGGAGATCAGTGGGGTGGTGGGAGAGGTGGGTGGGGTGGGAGATCAGTGGAGGGAGGGGTGGGAGGATCAGGTGGTGGGAGATCAGTGGGTGGGGTGGGAGGGTGGGAGATCAGTGGGGGGGGTGAGGGTGGGAGATCCAGTGGGTGGCGGGGTGGGAGATCAGTGGGGTGGTGGGAGATCAGTGGGTGGGAGATCAGTGGGGTGAGGTGGGAGAGTGGAGGGTGGGATCAGTGGGGTGAGGGTGGAGATCAGTGGTGGGGTGGGAGATCAGTGGGGGAGAGGTGGGGAGATCAGTGGGGTGAGGTCACAGAGGGTGGGGAGATCAGTGGAGGTGGAGATGGTTGGTGGGAGATCAGTGGGGTGGAGATCAGTGGGGTGAGAGGGAGGGGATCAGTGGGGTGAGGGTGGGAGATCAGTGGGTGAGGGTGGAAGAGATCAGTGGGATGAGGTGGGGAGATCAGTGGAGTGAGGGTGGGAGATCAGTGGGGTGAGGGTGGGGAGATCAGTGGGTGAGGGTGTGAGGTGAGGGTGGGGAGATCAGTGGGTTGAGGGTGGGAGATCAGTGGGGTGGGTGGTTGGGAGATCAGTGGGGTGAGATCAGTGGGGTGAGAGATCAGTGGGGTGAGGGTGGGAGATCAGTGGGGTGGGAGTGGGAGATCAGGTGGGGGTGGGTGAGGAGGAGATCAGTAGGGTGAGGTTGGGGATCACAGAATTGGTGAGTGGTGGGAGATCAATGGGAGTTGGGCAGATGGGAGATCAGTGGGTGTGAGGGTGGGAGATCAGTGGGTTGAGGGTGGGAGAGCTCAGTGGGGTGACGGTGGGAGATCAGTGGGGTGAGGGTGGGATCACTGGTAGAAAGGGGGAGTTTACTGGGATCATCTGAAATTTAGGTTCTGTTGTGAATGGTTCCAGGGGTACTCATCACTACAACAGGTTACATTCCATGCAAGCTGAGCTTAACTGTACATACCTTGGTACCAGATGACTCCATATATGGTCATGTTAAGTAGCGGGTGGATCATACAGTTCCAGAGCTGGGTGGGTGTGTGGGAATTGGTGTAGCCAGGCAGGGTCTTCTCAAACTCATATCTGTTAACATACATCAAGTTTATAACATGCATGAGAGCGGTGCAAAACTCGGACAGTAACCTGGGCAAATACCACTAGGTTAGAAAAGAAAACTTATATGGTACTTTGATGCATACTAATCATCTATTTGATGTTGGAGCATGTGTCATTGAGACTGTACATGACCGAGACTGTACATTCTATGTAGATTGCAATACACCCCACTGGATGACCGAGACTGTACATTCTATGTAGATTGCAATACACCCCACTGTATGACCGAGACTGTACAAACTATGTAGATTGCAATACACCCCACTGGATGACCGAGACTGTACATTCTATGTAGACTGCAATACACCCCACTGGATGACCGAGACTGTACATTCTATGTAGATTGCAATACACCCCACTGGATGACCGAGACTGTACATTCTATGTAGATTGCAATACACCCCACTGGATGACCGAGACTGTACATTCTATGTAGATTGCAATACACCCCACTGGATGACCGAGACTGTACATTCTATGTAGATTGCAATACACCCCACTGGATGACCGAGACTGTACATTCTATGTAGATTGCAATACACCCCACTGGATGACCGAGACTGTACATTCTATGTAGATTGCAATACACCCCACTGGATGACCTAGACTGTACATTCTATGTAGATTGCAATACACCCCCACTGGATGACCGAGACTGTACATTCTATGTAGATTGCAATACACCCCACTGGAAGACCGAGACTGTACATTCTATGTAGATTGCAATACACCCCACTGGATGACCGAGACTGTACATTCTATGTAGATTGCAATACACCCCACTGGATGACCGAGACTGTACATTCTATGTAGATTGCAATACACCCCACTGGATGACCGAGACTGTACATTCTATGTAGATTGCAATACACCCCACTGGATGACCACCACTTGCTGTCCTGGCTATATCACTGTATGGTATCTAGGGATGTAACCATGGTGACGACTGACACAACCATACATCACAACAGTCCCAGTAGCAATACTCTTATGGCAAATTATGTAGGGGACTAGGTTGTATTATATGTGTCACAGTCAAGTGACACATGATGAGAGATTCATCACATGTCACTAGACACATCATCTTTCAGTTTTCCTATTTATTACATACCTCATGTCTTGTTGACAGCGGCTTATGACAACAGATTATCCAAAACAATAAAAACACAAAATATAAATTCTCCTGTCTATACGCACTGACCTTTTCAAATGTAGATTTTTGCAGGCAATCATGATATTGCAGGGTCCAAAATACCCCATATATTAGCGTGCCATGGCACAGTAAATATTGAAATGGCACAGATAAAATAGGTTCTTGGTGCCCTTCAGGCATGCCTGAAGTTTTAGAGACATAACTCACCTTTGGTCATTTAATCCCCAAAACAAAACACTTACGCAAATGACAAACAGGCAAAACCATTTATTGACTTTATCGCCCAGGAAATCACTGGAATTATGATGGATGATATAAAAAAATGTGGTTGTTCTTCCATTTAGAGTGATGGGAGTACTGATAGTTCGGTTATTGAAGTGGTAATTGTGTATGACTGATATACTGAACCAGTAAACCTGTCACAGAATTCTTAGCCATTAAAGGTGTTGGGAAAGTAGAACAAATGAAGGTTAGGAAAGCCATCTTAAACAGAAGACATATCAGTGACATAACAGAAAACAGGTTCAAATGATCATCATCATTGCTACAGTCATTTATTCTGAAAAACATGTGGGCACACTTGATTTCTGAAAGGCACATTTAAAATCTTGCCTGGTGCCCTAAGGCTCACTTAGAAAAAAAAGGATTTCTATCCCTGATAATTTAAACAAGATTTAAAAATGATAATAAACTCAATAAAATACTTGAAATAGTCAAAGTAGGGAGACAGATTACTGTAGACGCTCTGGGAAAAGGTATTGCACAGAAGATGACTGACTTGCTTAAAACCAACTTGTGCATGCATCAACACAGGCCTGTGCCACCATCCACACAGGCCTGTGCCACCATCAACACAGGCCTGTGCCACCATCCACACAGGCCTGTGCCACCATCCACACAGGCCTGTGCCACCATCCACACAGGCCTGTGCCACATATGGTACATACATTAAGATGTTTCAGCACCATTCCAGCCATGTGCTATAAATAACCAACTCTTCACCAGACAAGCCAGTGATTGATATAGTGATCAGCGATGCACGTCATGAGATACCAAGCAGTCACACAAGTCAGTGAGCTTGACCACCACATCCAATAGGTCATCTCGTAATTATAACTGACTGTAATCTGTAAGCCAATGGTGCTACGTACATGTATGAATCCACAATGTCTGTGGGAGATATTCCGCACTGTGCTAAGGCATCTGTTGAAGACCAGGCCTCGATTGGTGTGCCGCCATAGGATGTGTCGATCAGTCCAACTGGATACCCGAATTCCTGGTACATGAGCCTGCCATACAGCCAGCAGACAGCTGAGAAGTAAACTGACCCAGTGTGGTCAACCAGGCTCTCTGTAAGTAGAGCCCACAGCAGTCAGACAAGGAACACCATGTACTTGCTTCTGTGTTGAACCATCTATCGAAAATACAACTTGCAGATTTGTGTAACACATGTCTAGTAGTGTAGGCATACCTTATGTAGCCCTCTGACAATTGCAAACTGGCATGGCTCCCATGGCCCTACGGGTACACAAGTATGTGATCAAGAATACCGTTAATCAGACTTCCATGTTTGTGGAACACTAAATAGCGCTGGGTTAGGTCGCTGACCTTGTCTTCTCGCAGTTAGGTGCCTCACTCTCTGAGGGCGTGGATTTGAATCCTGGATTTTACCAATATTGGGAATCAAACTCAGGCCTTTGGGTTGGTGAGCCACTAGGCTACCCCTGTCAGCATCGATATTCAACCACTGGACCTATTGTGAAGCCATGTACTGGGTACTGGGTCACTTGATCCACTTGGTTAATCCTGGTCTGCTCCAACATTGAAGGCAATACTCACTCCTACTGGGCAGGGACCATCCTTCATTGACAGCCAGTAGGTCCAGGGTTTCATTGGGGTTGAACTTGAGAGCAACACTGAAAAGTCGGATGTTGGTGAAGTTGGATGCTGCAGCTATTTCAGCTGTTGCATTGAACATCTGAAAGATGAAAACTGAGACTTATCGCTGAACACTGTTTTATACCTTTTCTGGTTGTAATTACAGTGAAACCTGCCAACACCAGCACCTGTGTAATCCAGCACACTGTCAAAACCGGCATTTTACAACAATGTTATGACCATTATAACATTGTCTAATCTAGCACCTGTCTATTCTGTATTCCGGCACGACTATCCAGTCCCAACAAGCAATTCTAACTGTAACTAACACTGTCTAAACCAGCATGGGTATATGAGCAGGACCCATAATCCAATACACTTATTATCCTCTTGGCACGCTAGATAATCAGAAAGTAGTGATTGCGCGATGAATCAAGCTGGCATGGGTATGAGCAGACCAATCAAGGTCCCTTAATCCAATACACTCCTCTCGGCACACTAGATTGAGAGATTGTCCCGTGTAAATGGCAGCCATGTTGGAAAATGATCGTCACTGTCTAATCCGGCACCCTGTCTAAAGCCGGCATTTTATTTCAGTCCCATGGGGTGCCAGTTTAGACAGGTTTCACTGTATACAACCCATTTTGCATAGCTGGGTGCCAGGTGAGTACAAGGTGAGTACATCTATTAATTATTCATGTAAATACTATGTCGACCTATTGACACAATGGGTATTGCCTCCACCATACTGACATCACAGGTGATTCGTGTTGGATTTATGTCCAGCCTGGAGCTGTGAACATTCTAAACATGGTTTTCAAAACCCCTCTCAACATCAAATTCAAAAGTGGATAATTATTCATGCTTAAAAGCTTTGTGAGGGTTTATGCATTATCTTACTGTCACTGAAAAATATCACTGTGACTCACTTAAACATTCAGTTTCACAAACACAGTCATGGAACACTGATCATTGTAACTGACCCTTGTGTCTAAAACTAATGAACATATACCCTGTTGACAGTAAACTGCATGTTGGACTGGCCTGAGCAGATCCACACATCCCCAAACAGGACATCCGTCAAGGTGATCATCTCCGTAGCTGATGAGGCTTTGATTGTAAACGGTCCTGGCAGGGACACAGGGGGCAAGGTCACCTTCCAGATGCCGACACCGTAGATGCTGTCTTTGTAAACCCTTCCTGAGACTGTCTCCTGACCTTCCACCTTGACCTTGATGACCTCTCTGATGTTCGGGGAGTACCCCCAGATGATGGCCTGTCTCGGTGCCCTTTGTAGAACCATGTGATTCCCATAGTAGGAGGCGAATGTAAAGTTAGAGGGATAGGTTTGTGGGGTAACTACAAAACAAAGAAATATAAAACATCAGTGCTAGAGAATAACCAGTCTAAATTATCAGCTGTAACAGATTCCACTAGGCATAACAAAACGAAATGCTGATGATATTTATATTAATTGATCACTGAACACCAGGTGTTCGAAAAATAGGTCCTGCTCTTCTGGCACGCCAGGAACTCAAACAATTTTCATAAAAATTAAGCATTGTACCCATCATTCTACCACCCTTTTCTCTCTGCAGTAATTTTAAATATGAAATGCTTATTATCATTATCATTAAGCAGGAAATTTTCTAGGATTTCAAACTAAATCTTCAAGCTGGACAAATTGGGAGAAAATTGTTATTTTGTGCAATCCAGGGCCTAGATTTTCCAAGCTCTCTTAGTGCTAAAATAGTTGAAAGTTAATGTTAATGTATGGCACTTACAACTATCTTAGCCCTAAGAGAGCTTCTTTACTTACTTTAATACTAGGATACTTTAACACTGCAATAATAAAAACATCACTTTCTCTTTATTGTGTCATGTTATCAGTAAAAAACAAATCACCATTACAAAGCTGCATTATTTACATGTCCATACTGTAATTATAATCTTCAATCTTAATAACACATATTCTAGTCCTGAAACTAGATATTGGTTCTTGAGATTCTAGACGTGAATCCTGACTGATACAAACAATACTGCATAGAATTATAATTATTGCTCCCACCAAAATGCATATTTTAATACTACCTCAATTGACATAAGTTTGGACCTTCCCCTAATATCACCGTATAACCCCAATATAGTGTTTGACATTACAATCTATATGAAAATACAGTGAGAAAGGCTAAAAAAACCTTTTACTTATATGTCTGTCATTTTTCTGATTTGCTCAGATTTGAGAGAGATTGTGAACAGTAGTACAAAAGACATATTTCCCCCTACATGTTTCAACTTTATCTTCAGGGGGAATTTAAATTTATCCATGAAGAAAAAGTTGAAATATGTTGGAGGGAAACTTGTGTTATGTTATTATTTTGAAACTGGGATTCAAACTTAAGATACTGAGATTCACCACCATATATTTGTAGAAGCCATGCCCTGAGAACTAAGTCACCCCCAAAACTGAGGAATGGTATCATGTCACGAACTAATATGACTACAAGACTGATATGCATGATCAATGTGGTATATGTTTTTAGTTTTTTACACATCATAATAAGACAGCAATAATTTATCAACTTCTTCTTTTACTAGATAATTGGTGTTATGTGGTTCAGTACATAACCTGCACATTTAACAAGCAATACAGTACATTATAGAGTTTCAGTCACCATAGTCACCATAATTCACACTCTCATGACTATTATACATATCATACCAAGTAAGTCTAAAAGTTTGTGAGGCAGCACTTATTGGAGCAAAGCTGTTATTAACATGATTGGTGTGAAAACGCTATTTTATTATAAATATCATATGTTGTGAATAAATTAGCAGTTATACATGCTTGCCTGATCACATATAGTACAATTTATGTTTATAATATCTTTTGAAAATGATTAACAAAAACACACAGAGGAAATATTCTAATAATGTTGGGGGATAAAATAAAAACAATGTTTGAAGAAAGAATGACTGAAGAAATGTATTATACAGACTTGCCAAAATATTTTATGGTCTCTGATTAGTGACGTAAACATTGTTGCAAGTTCATGACGGTGATGTTGCACATAGTAGATACTCTGTATCATTATCATTGCATAACATCATTACAAAACTGAAAAAGTTTATTTATTTCCCAACACCGGAACCCTATCCTGGTAGTCTACCTTCGTTTGGAAATCCATTCTGAAACATTGCGTAAATTTCATCTTGACGCTCATCTACAGAGTGAGCAGCGGCCCGCAACAACAGCGATAGAAACATGCACTGTAGGAAGGCCATCGACCCCACCTTCCTTGATAAACCTGTTCTCGCTACCGTTGTGATGTATCCTGGCATCATCATCTCTGCTACATATGAACAGCGCAACAGGTGGATGCGGAAGCCTTGTTCTAAGTAATCTCGCAATGACACCTCTGCATGCGACAATAGCATACAAGTCAAGATTCCGTTAATACTTCTCACTCGCCTAAATGGATGTAGGTCGAGACTGAACAATCAAAACTTAAAACTCAAACCTCGTGATCATTGTATTGTTATTGATGTGAGGGTGGGTAAGTTAGAGTTACCCCCCTTACTAAAATCTGTCACATAAAACCCATATAGTTGGACAGTATGCTAATATGTGAGAGAGGTATGTCCCACGAAGAAATATATCTCCTATAGAGATTCTTTCGGTAGTCTGCTTTGAAAGTTATTTCTATAGAATCCCTGCCAAGTCTTGAATATCTACATTTTGAAAGAGCTCAATGACCTCTTCTGCTAAAACCGCTTTTCATGGGGAGTGAGTGAGTGAGTTTAGTTTTACGCCGCTTTTAGCAACATTCCAGCAATATCACGGTTGGATACTGTTTAATACACACGTATATATACCAAACGGGATGGGAGTTTGGCCATACATAATTTCATTATTAGCCAGTTGGAACTAACCTGGATTATTACTGTGTAGAAATGTTTTTATCATTACAGCGTACCCGCTCCTTTCGCACCAGACAGAGGCAACGCAAAGCTAGAAATGTTACCACGGTTCCATGGTGAGAAATGCGCAGTAAGCTGCCCACGTGCATCATGTCATCGTGGTCTAGGTATAGTTCTTTACAACTTATAGACAATTCTTAAACAATCTTCTTTACAACCTCTTTTAGCTTCCTCTCTTTGCCGAATGTACGAAAGTAAATCATCTTAATCGCATTGTTTTTTATAATCATAATTTCATACTATGTTTCATTTTAATATGTATCATATTGTGTATACCTTTTATCTACTGAATGTTTATAACCAAATCTATATTCTAATCAATGTGTCTCATAAGCCATTTATTGGCTGGGCCTACACTCTTAATGGTATAATGTTTTAATATTGTATGTATTTGTCTAGTTGTTTGGTGTGACGCACAAATAAACATTTCTTCTTCTTCTTCTCTTCACTTGTAGGCTGAGTGGACTCATTCATGACCTCCAAGCAAAGCCAAGACATCCAAATCAAACCATGTGTAAAGACATATTTTATTTCACTATTTTGACATTAGATTTATCATCAATGATATGTTTGACAAACGGTGGGGCCGGGTAGCCACTTTCTTTGTTGTAGACTGCACACTGTTTAAAGGGACACGGCGACTCTCGCCAGGCATAACGTATGGCAGACACCATCATGTCCTTAGGCTGGAGACATATCTGGCTGTAGTTGAAGGTCACTGACGTGTCGTCATGTGACACCATTGGAAGATGGAACCACGTGATGTTTTCCGAGACTTCAGCGAGAGCGGAACTCTTGTCTAGGGTAATGCATGATACCTGAACCACAGAAAGAGAATTAAGGAATTTTGAAAACGTCCCAGAAATTGCTGCTCTGAAAGGGAATATTAGCCATGAAAGTTGCCATACGTTTAAATTAAGAATATGATATTTATCCTGACATAGCATGAAGTGAAAGCGACAAAACCTTTTCTCAAAAAAAGTGTTCTCTGCTATTCTGCGCCATACCATTAATTTCGGCAGATGTTCATGTCAATAATTTGGTCTGTAGACACAAGGCAGAGGATACGCATGCATTGTTGCAGAGAGGTAATATATGCTTATGTGAAAAACTGTTAATGAAGAGTGCCATGGATTCTAATACACGATACATACCAATTACAACACCGCTCTTTGTCATTTTATATCAGTGTAGCTTGCTCTATAACATGTCACTAAGAAGGCACCTTACATCTAAAGAGACCACTATTGCTGTCTAATGCAGAATTTCACGAATAGGCTAATTATACACCTCGTCAGTACAATGTTAGTTCTTAGATTACTTTCACGGCATCATGAAAACCACTGGCCACTGCTGGAGACTGGAATGCCAATCAGCTGAAGTTTATTCTTCACAGACTAGGCACTTTCTGTTTCGCTTGTGACGAAACATGTCCCTCTTTATTATTCTAATAAATTATGCGTTGCTGCACTGCATTTCATAGAACATGATAGCTTTTGGCGTTGGTTTGGGGAAGAAAGTTGGGACTGTACATCCCAAGGAGTGGAACTTGAAGACCCGATGATGAGAAATGAACTGTTAGCAAAGGAGACGACTTGGTATTGAAGGGCGGTCTTAAGGATCGCAGAAATCCAGAAAGAGTGTTTAGAGAAGGAAACGGCGCAGTGCAATGTTTTCCCGCACCCAAAGGGGATGGTACTTGCTTTAGGGTATCTAGCAACGTGTGGCCATGGACTGCTGCTCGATCTATTTTGCCAGCTCTGACCCATCTTCAGAAGACAAGTGGAGTGTGAACCTCTCCGTAAATTACTACAGTACTGTCGGAAATAGAAAAAAACACTGTTTTTTCGAATCAATATCTACAATTTATGTAGTTAATATGTGAAAGTGTGAAATATATGTTAAACTAAGTTCGGCCTAACTACAGTCTCAGTGGTAGAGATATAGGAAACGTAGAAAAGGACTTTACTGAGGAGAGATTAGTGCAGAAATGAGCAATGAGTTGTTTTTATTTTTAAGTCCAAAGCGACTTATTTGGAACAGACCATGACTTTATGCAAATTAGTGTGCGATGATACTTTATTGCAAAGGACACTTTTTAAATATTAATTGAAAAAATAAACTCATCTTCATTATAAACGATAGCTGACGTAAACAATAATAACTTTAATATTGAAACTATTAAGGATGTAGCTACCATGGAGTCTCACTATCACTATAAAAAGAAACAGGTAGGAGGGGTCGTCTCAAACGGTATGTCAGGACGGGTGTCGCAGACGGTGGTTGGGGTCGGACTGGGTGATAGAGATATCAGCTGAGATAAGATAATCCTTTAGGGAGAAATAGACTGGGGAAGCAAACGGCATGTCATAACACTTTACAAATAATATCCAGTCCTGTCGATCATCGGGTGGTCATGCCACCTATATATTTTGATACATTTAATACGAAGGCCGATTAAGCTTTTCTATGGGTATCATACTCTTTTACATATCTCAACATAAACTTTGTGAAAGAAAGACACGTAAGATGTCAATCAATAAATGAGACATATTCAACACACATGAGAAAGCATAAAATATCTTTGAGATGACCCATTGTGCCCGTAGGCAGCACGTGCATTACATGCCAGGTGAGTCGATACCTGGCTGAGCGACCTACTACCATCTATAGTCTCACCTATGGTTTTCAGCAGCTATTGGTATTATTTCTAAGTTTTGCCCAATTTTACGAGTAAACATGCTTTCCTGGATATCCTATTACGCATTCCACTGAACGCCCAGTTAGGCCGATGTGGGTTATTTCGACATAATATGCTATTTGCAATTGTGTAAATTTTAGGGATACAGAGTAACAGTCAAAAACAGGTTTTTTTTCTATTTCCGACAGTACTTTAGTACCATAAATTTAGAGAATAACAATGGAATTTAAGTCCTTAAGTCTACTTTATCTCACTCGAATGATTTGTTGGACATAGGCAAGTTACCATTTGATTACCTGTGAAAATACATAATTCAAGGTAAGCATGTTATTGTACATATATTTATGTACTTATTATAATGAACACTGCCAACAAGTAAAAATATACCAATGTAAATGAAAGAGGTCTGTGTCACCAAAGGTATCTTGTCCTGAAACAGAAATGTTCACTGAAACTCACCTCAAAGCCAGTTGTGGATCTTATATCCAGAACAGTTTGTTTATTATCGTAGTCAATCTCTATAGTGCCGTCAGCCACCCAGATTGTGATCAATGAAGGTAGAGGACCGTTGAATTTGGAGAACTCAGTTTGGTTATAGGCCACAGCAAGTCCAGCTGTACAAAGTCGCATAGACACATCCTCTTTGTCCCGGGGATGGATACTGAAAGTACATACACGATAAAATGCACATGTTCCAAAGAATAATGTAGTTGTTATCATAGTACGAGAACATGCAAAGATATTCTGATATACCCTGTGTATGGAGAGGTAAAGTCAGGCAGGTCCATGGCCACCGCCATGAAGGTGTTGTTCATCCTGTCGTTAGGGACATAGCCGTAGTCAGCTGTCTGGTGCCACCGAATGTCTGTGAAGCCGGTAGTAATGGTGTCATTGTCTCTCCATGGAGCAAGCTGCAGACAAACATCAGAATTGTGTCTCAAACAAATATCCTAATACAAATTCAGAAGTTCATGACGCAAAGCGAAAAAAGTTCCAAGTGTCCAAATACAGAATGGAAGGGACGAAATATGTTTCCCAAAATTTGGTCAAACGCATTACAATAATCAAAGCTCTTTTAATGAATTAAACTATATGAACAAATTTGTATATCTTCAGAGATTGACCATTTAAATCATTAGTACATTGAGTAGTAATAGAGGGGGGTTTGCCGCAGATGCGGCTTAGAGTCTCATTTTTATGAAATAAGTTCCCCAGCCCCCTTTAAAAACGGCGATGGTCTATCGAGAGGCATCCTTCGATGTGCCGTCAGCCTAGACTCAAAGTTCCGAGCACTGAAGTATTAGACGGCTCGCCAGTGTGATGGTTAGAATGTTGGACACGTAATCGAGCGTTCGAGTCGGGGGTAGCGACGGAAACTTTGCAAGTCTGAGTCGAGGTGTACTGGGAAATCTGTGTCGGGTCATTCCTCCTCGGAGGAGGACTGACCTGGGAAATCTGTGTCGGGTCATTCCTCCTCGGAGGAGGACTGACCTGGGAAATCTGTGTCGGGTCATTCCTCCTCGGAGGAGGAGGACTGACCTGTCACTTGACTATCTTATGTTGATTGTGGATTCTAAGCCAAACCAAGATGGCGACCGAGCTGAGCAACGGGGTATGGGCTGGGTTTATCCTGACCAACAACCCATTTAAATTTTTTTTAAACGTAGCCATTATATTCAGCGACGACTTTATGAAAACTATGTCATGATGACATCTACGAAGCAGTTGAACGTGAATCGTTTACGTTCTTGGTCAGGAAGGCTTGAATGATCTGTTGTAGGCCTTGTTCTATGAGCTTTTTTTCTCGTCTTCGCTGAAGTCAGTGGTTTTCCGAGTCTTGGTTCGAATCTCTTCCTTCATGCAGTGGTACTTGGCGAGTTCGGCTAAAATCAGGCGGAATTCTTCTTCAGAGATTTTACTGTCCGTAAGCGTAAAACTAAACTCTCAGTCAATCAGTCAGTCTGACAAAACATCCACTTGCACAGTTTGAGATCGATTGGGTCATTGGATGAAGAGATATTTACAAAAAAACTGGGTCCACATGCATTTCATGCCAAACTATATGTATTTTGAGACATTTAATACGAAGGCCAATTTAAGCTTTTCTATGGGTATCATACTCTTTTACATATCTCAACATAAACTTTGTGAAAGAAAGGCACGTAAGATGTCAATCAATAAATGAGACATATTCAACACACATGAGAAAGCATAAAATATCTTTGGGATGACCCATTGTGCCCGTAGGCAGCACATGCATTTCATGCCAGATGAGTGGATACCTGGCTGAGCGACCTACTACCATCTATAGTCTGTTCTATTGTTTTCAGCAGCTGTTGGTATTATTTCTAATTTTTGCCCAAGTTTACGAGTAAACATGCTTTCCTGGATATCCTATTACGCATTTCACTGAACGCCCAGTTAGGCCGATGTGGGTTATTTCGACATAATATGCTATTTGCAATTGTGTAAATTTTAGGGATACAGAGTAACAGTAAAAAAAACAGGATTTGTTTCTATTTCCAACAGTACTTTAGTACCATAAATTTAGAGAATAACAATGGAATTTAAGTCCTTTAAGTCTACTTTATCTCACTCGAATGATTTGTTGGACATAGGCAAGCTACCAGTTGATTACCTGTGAAAATACATAATTCAAGGTAAGTATGTTATTGTACATATATTTATGTACTTATTATAATGAACACTGCCAACAATTAAAACTATATCAATGTAAATGAAAGAGGTCTGTGTCACCAAAGGTATCTTGTCCTGAAACAGAAATGTTCACCGAAACTCACCTCAAAGCCAGTTGTGGATCTTATATCCAGAACAGTTTGTTTATTATCGTAGTCTATCTCTATAGTGCCGTCAGCCACCCAGATTGTGATCAATGAAGGTAGAGGACCGTTGAATTTGGAGAACTCAGTTTGGTTATAGGCCACAGCAAGTCCAGCTGTACAAAGTCGCATAGACACATCCTGTTTGTCCCGGGGATGGATACTGAAAGTACGTACACAAGAAAATGCACATTTTCCAAAGACGATTACCTACATCCTGCTTGTCCCTGGGATGGATACTGAAAGTACATACAACAGTATAAAATGGACATTTCCGAAGGATTGAATATTAGTTTGAAATTCCTTTGTCAGAATACATTGATATACCAGTACTGTACAAAAATATACTGTCATACCCTGTGAATGGAGAGGTAAAGTCCGGCAGGTCCAAGGCCACCGCCATGAAGGTGTTGTTCATTCTGTCGTTAGGGACGAAGCCGTAGTCAGCTGTCTGGTGCCACCGAATATCTGTGAAGCCTGTAGTAATGGTGTCATTGTCTCTCCATGGAGCAAGCTGCAGACAAACATCAGAATTGTGTCTCAAAGAAATATTCTAATACAAATTCAGAGGTTCATGACGCAAAGCGAAAAAAGTTCCAAGTGTCCAAATACAGAATGGAAGGGACGAAATATGTTTCCAAAAATTTGGTCAAACGCATTACAATAATCAGAGCTGGGAAACTTCTGCTAAAGTTAGAATGTTCTTTTAGTGAATTAAACTATATGAACAAATGTGTATATCTTTAGAGATTGACCACTTAAATGATTAGTACATTGAGTAGTAATAGAGGTGGGGGGTGCCGCGGATGCGGCTTAGAGGCTTATTCTTATGAAATAAGTTCCCCAGCCCCCCTTCTTAAAAACGGCGATGGTCTATCGAGAGGCATCCTTCGATGTGCCGTCAGCCTAGACTCAAAGTTTCGAGCACTGAAGTATCAGCCAGCTCGCCAGTGTGATGGTTAGAATGTTTGACTCGTAATCGAGTGTTTGTAGTTCGAGTCGGGGGTAGCGACGAAACATTTGCAAGTCTGAGTCGAGGTGTACTGGGAAATCAGTGTCGGGTGATTCTTCCTCGGAGGAGGACTGACCTGGGAAATTTGTCGCCACGATGGCGACCGAGCTTAGCAACGGGGTATGGGCTGGATTTATCCTGACCAACAAACCCATTTAATTTTTTTTTAAACGCAGCCGTTATATTCAGCGACGACTTTATGAAAACTACGTCATGATGACATCTACGAAGCAGTTGAACGTGAATCTTTTACGTTCTTGGTCAGGAAGGCTTGAATGATCTGTTGTCCGCCTTGTTCTATGAGCTTTTTTTTCTCGTCTTCGCTGAAGTCGGCGGTTTTCCGACTCTTGGTTCGAATCTCTTCCTTCATGCGGTGGTACTGGCGAGTTCAGCTAAAATCAGGCGGAATTCTTCTTCGGATATTTTACTGTCCGTAAGCACCAACGAGACGCCATCGTTGATCGTGTTCAGTTTGGCTTTGGCCAGAACCCTGATCTCGTCGTGTTTTAAGGCCTTCCGTTAAAGACGACGTGAAATGAATTTAAGGGCTACTCCCGCCAGCCCCGATACCCCGACGGCTATTTTCAACTCGAAGACGATGGGTGGGGCCACGATGGTCGACAACAAGCCGATGCCGGCACCCCCGAGTCCAATGCCGGCGACCACGAGGCCCGTGTCCACTCTGCTGACGCATTGACTGCCTGATGGTACTTTTTTGTGCAATCTGAGCTGATTTTTATGGCAATCGTGCCAGCATATGTCTACCCCAGCCAGAAGTCCCACCCGTTGTCCGGAGACATTTCCAAGAACAACATCGATATGAAGGGTAGAACCTGGTATCACAGTGATCCACGAGTCTGGGACTTCACTATATCGTTTTAAATCGAGCCATTTCGCTGTGTCTTCCGAGTGAGGGACTAGCATATAACCCGTTTGATCTGGTAATGGTGATGCATACATTCCCTTTTTTATGAAACAGAATAAAATTCCCCAGTAGAAACCCATTGTTTTTGATTTCGAGGATATTATGATCCTGATCCATGACGAGATAGGGGTAGGTCAGGACGATATTGATGATCCAGTTCAATTCGACGATGACTTCTCGACGTTGGTACACGTTGTTTTGTAAGTGCAGGACGTACAAGGCGTTTTCCGTACCGAGTTCGTCGAATCCTAGCGTGTCCCCGAGATCGGAGAACATGATGGTGGCTTGCGGAGTCACGTTTGTCATGATATATTAGAGAAATTTTAATTAGTTTTCGGATAATGTTTCGGCCGTGCATTTAAAACCCATCAGATGTATGTTATCGTGCAGGAAAATGTTCGAGAGCGATATCGGATTTTCCACGGTGACGTTGACTCACTGCTGGTGAACGCATCCATGCCCACCAGTACGTAAACGGAGAAAACATGGTATTGGTGTTGCTGGGTCCACTGGAGTTTGATGCCTTTGACGATTACGACGTTCCCAACCCGTGGTTCGCCGAGGTAGACTTGGATGATCAGCGTGGATTGCGCCTGCAGATTTTGCAGGATGTCGACCATGCTGTCGAATTCCGACACTAACTGCAACGTCGCGTTTGACGTCCTGGTTTTACTCGATAGGATGTGAGCTATGGGTTGCGACAGCATGTTGACGATGACACTGCGTCGATCACATCGTCATTCTATGCCGGACGTTGCGGGTGAACAAGACGTACACCGAGAGAGCGTGGGTGATGACGGACCTGGACGTGCACAGGATGGATCCTGGAATGCGTCTGCAGGACTGGTTGACTGCTTATCACGGTATATTGAAAGGGGAGTCGTCGCTGTTCCTCCTGGACGACTGCAGCACCAACAAGGACATGGTCAATAAACGAGACATGCTGTCTTACCTGCCCTTCTCGGGCCGGCACACGAAACACAGCATTTGGATGCTGACGCAAAAATGTAACTCGGTGCTCAAAGACTTAAAGGTCACATGCAACGTAAAACACAACTTTGCAGATTCTGATACCTTTTGGTATGGACTTACCGAAACAAATCGTCAAAAATGCAAATTCAACTTATAAAGTTGAAAAATAATGCGATGAAAAAACGCGCAAAATCGGAGGTCAAACGTTTCACTAATTTTCACCCGACTTTCCGGGGGAACACTTGTTTCAACAGCTGGGCTGCACTCATAGCACGTGCGCAGTAAAATAGGTTTGCGCAGCTTTGAAGCGGGTTGTCCGGTGAATACTCGGTGAAGGCTTTGGTGTGAGCTATTTTTCTAATGTTTTGTTGATATCTCACAGGCGCGAGCTTTTTATATGTTATGACAGTAAATTAACTGTTTATATAATTTCATTCGTCTATTTCACCACACGTTCTTCTTACCGAGTCACTTTCTCGGTTCGATACTTAAAAGCAAAGTCATTATTTAGAGTTGACAGAATTTCTAACTGTGATATAGATATGTCGTTGTCACAGACAAAACTCAATGTCTTGTTTTATTGACACCTGTGTGTCTGCCTGCCTGTCTGCTAATGACAATATTCAATACACAGCTGCTATCACTGACCAATCAGGCTATACACCATAAACAACATGCATTGATTTATGGCCCGAGTTCGGTCTCTGTCACATTATGTAATTACACAGACAGGCAGGTGTGATACTTGTACACATGACATGTTATGATGTCTGTTGATTGCAAAATGTTATACACAAAAAATGAGCATGTATTTACAAAACCCAACATCTCTATATATACACACACAATGAGCCGTGAGGGCATCTGCAAATGAACCAGCCGTTACACTTGAGTGCACACCCACCCGCTCTGACTGGGTTCGGTATCCCGGCTGCTTCGTTTCTTCGGAAGTAAATCCAAGTACAAAATATTGCACTTTTGATTTGCGATTGTACACTTATAATTTTGTTTATATGTTTTTTCATAACCAGCAATGTATATTATATGTCATGAATAAGTGATAATTGTGTTTTAATTATGTTTGATGTTTTGGTTGCATGTGACCTTTAAGGGAGCAGACGCGATGGGTGGCCCTGTTTCACTGCAAGGACTGGGATTCGTTTGAGGAATGCTTAAAAGAAAGCGACGTGATTCCGAGCAAACAAGAACGCGACCGCGTGATAAAACAGCTCGTCGAAACGAAACACGACAAACTCCTATTAAAAACGGACCAACCGGTAGCATATAAAATTCGCTAGCTTAAGCAAACTGATGCAACAATCTAGCAAACTTAAGCAAACTTCTAGCACAAAAAAAATTAAGCCACATTATATAGCTCGCATGTTCGAAATTTTTGTGGTGTGCCACTTGACTTTTCTATCGCTGTGCTTCGCGTGCGTGGGATTTTATGTTATTATATTTAAAAATAGTTTGTTATATTATAAGATGGAGTGCAACGAACTGCTCGAGCAAATGATGGAGAATAAACACGACACCAAGCGGGAGAGACTGTTGGCGCTGGAGGTCCGTGGCAAAGCCAAACAATACTTCGGCGGGGACCTCACTCACTGCAAATTAAAAAAATGTCCGCCGAAGACATCGACAAGTTGTACGCGACTCGGTGCCGAAATAACGAAAACCATAGGATCAACCATGATGCAAATCCACGTGCATCCCGTTGTATTTCCTTCCCATTCCACCCGAACATCGCCCGTACATGTGGGAAGACCTCGAGAAAGATACGTCCATCGACCACGCTTTGAGCACCGTCAGCTGTGAAATGTTTCATCGATACGGGATGCTGCTGGCTCCTCTGACCGCGGCCATCATCACAGCGAAGCATTGCCAATTTAAAGAAAAAAATATAAACCATACTATACAAGATGGAGGAACAACAACCGACAGAACCTGTCCCAGAACAACCACCAACGACGGAGGAGGAACCGATTAAGACCGTCACCCAAAAAACGAATCCCCCAAAAGTAGCCGCCGGTCGCAAAGGCGGGCTAGCGAAACAGCAAAAAAAAAACCGTGAATGGGTCCCGTACGCCATAGCGGCGGCATGCATCACCGTCACGACCGCATGGCTGTACAAATTCAAACCGGCAGCAGCAACACCGGCAGCTCCTTAAATAGAAGTAAATCCTCATATTATGTTATGATTTAATTTATGTTATGATTTATATATACACACCATGTCTAACCCTGATGGAAAAATGTTCGTCAACCACGCGTATCACGCCGCCGGGATCAGCGGACTGGCCATAGGCTACGCTCGATTGAACAATATGATCACCAAACAACCGGCACCCAAACTCGATTTCAACCTGCAACGTCCAATGCGGCCGAAATCGAATCGACAACGCCATGCATCAATACTACCTGCTTACCGGCAAACGATTGGAACCTCTCGGCGGTGAACCCACCCTCTCCCAGTATTACACCCCTCCCAAGGCACAGCAAGACCGGGAGCTGATTTTTGTGGATTAGCTGCCACCGTATGGATCGCCAAACAATTAGACTAAAATATTTATTTATGTGTATAAAATATATTTACATGTGTATAAAGATGGGACGACCTGCACCGTTTCAGTGTCAGTACGTGCTTCTCGGAAAAAACGAAACCTGCGGCAGGAAATGCACCACCGCCTATTGCGGCATCCACATGATGTCCATCGTCTACATGGAGACATGGATTTGAAGTGAAAAAGCCACCAAACGTGCACTAAGTATTGAAGCGGAAGTGGAATGACGGGTTTCAGACATCCTTTGCGCTACTATAGACGGAGCCCGGTTTAAGAGGAGGATGAAAAAATCTCAGAATAGACCCGTTAAACCGAGCACTCGGCTATCAGGTCCTCTCTGGCTCAGTCGAACGACTGCTTGGTACGATCAAGGTTCAGAGATGCGCGAATCTCTGACAGAGTTTTGAAGCCTACCGTTCCGACAAAAAAAAAGACACGGAGCTCTCAGGGAGAGCGCAGTGGACCACAACCCCACGGGAGAAATGCCAGTGCACCACAAACATCATCAGACCAGGGACCAGGCGGGTCTCTGGTCAAAATACCAATTTCTCCCTCCAGGGGTTGTGGGGCCACAGAGGGCTTTTGCTGTTTTTATATTTGAACTTGCACATCGAAAGATGGTTCTCGCTATTTTTTTATAAGGGGGGCTGGGAGGCTTAGTTCCCACAAATAAGCCTCTAAGCCGCATCTGCACACACAACACACACACACACACACACACACACACACACACACACAAACACACACACACAAACACAAACACAAACACATCCTCTATTACTACTCATTGACATCAGTACTTTCCAGTAATGGTTATGTCATACTGAGGATCATATTTACTGTTTGTGTGTTACCTATCTTATTCTGTCAGGGGAATTTGTAGCAGAAATGTTCCTTTGCTGTAGTTAATATTAACAAATTGCTTTGAAATATATGTGGCATTGCATCGTCAAGGTGAGTAAGAGTAAGAGTGAATTTAGTTCAATGCTGCTTTTAGCAATATTCCAGCAATATCACGGTGGGGGATACCAGAAATGATCTTCAAATATTGTACCCATGTAGGAAATTGAACCCGGGTCTTCGGCGTGACAAGCGAATGCTTTAACCACTTGGCTACCCCACCGCCCCGCATCGCCAAGGATTGTTGTGGCGTTTGTAGTAGCAGTAGTGATGAATCATACCTGTACAAAACCAAAAGGAAACACTGGGTCTGTTTGTCCTCCTGATGCTTGATGAAACCTGTCTCTCCAGTCATCTATCATGGCGGGGAACGTACAGTTGTACTGGTTCATTGTTGGAGATCCGGCATTGGCTTCACCTGGGCACAGAACAGTGGTACACATATTAAATTGTTTACCATTTCGTTCGTTCTTTCAGAGTCATCTTCCACTATGATCTGGTTCACTGTTTGGTCTACAGGTGGTATGTTTCTCCTTTGATTCACCCATTACAGCTGCAAATATTGAAATAAGCCCATCTTAAATCAAAATGTCGGACAGGGACTCAAGACGTCGCGCTAGGTCAGGTTTGGTTATACTCTACTGTTATATCTGTACTTACAATGGTTGCAACACGTTTTTCTTTCAACTAGGTTTACATACTCCTGTTACATCTTCCTCTCTACTGTTGCACCGAGAGTCAACATTTTATTTATTTTGATTTATTATCAAATGCATTTTCGAGGTAAAATGTTTAACTTATAAATGTGATTGGTTGCTACTCGCACTTCCGAGTACAGAAATATTTTCTGGGAAATTAAAGAGTTCTGTTTGAAAGGCTTAAATCAGGGTTGCCCACACAGATTCTGGTCTATCTCTACATTTACATGGTTTTCAAGAAGAAGAACGGCGGGAACACTTGTCAGCTCAGTTTCGTACATGCCTATTTCCTACCTAGGAAACTAAAGAATGATATGTGTTTGGTGTAAACTGGTTCTATAGACAAATGTTGGTTTATCTTAGCCAATCTCTCCGTTTTCATGATACACCGGATGCTGAGGTGAATATGTGGACCTATCTTACTTGACACATAATTGTCGTTTTCTGATTGGCTGAGCGCTCTTCTATTATTTTCAGTGTTCCCCGCTTACAAGCGAGTAACATTTTTATGATGATTTAAGAGAATATTTTAAATTATGCCCTCCCCACCCCCACCCCCACCATAAACTTATGAACGGTCCCTTAACATGTAATATTTTGAGAATAAATTTCATGAACGGTCCCACCAACATGTTTAATACTTTTCAGAATAATGTTTCAATAAAAACGGACAGAGACGGCACCAAGTCCAATCTTAACTACTTTTACCTTGATACCAGAGGGCTCCATATACGGTCATGTTGACGAAGGGTCGCATCATGGCGTTCCACAGAACAGAAGCAGCATTAGGGTTCACACTCGACATCTTCCTAGCCTCGCTCACACCACATTTCTTGAGGACATTGGGAGCTGACCACGCCTCCACTCGGGTTCCTCCGTATGATGATGCTATGAGGCCGATGGGGTATTTGAGATGCGACGACAGGTACTTAACATATAACCAACATACTGCCGAAAAGCCCGACACATCTGAACCGGCAACAGTATCTTGACAGCAAGAAAACGATGTTTTAGCCAAATATTATTTGGAACTTTGGAGCAAAAACCTAAGACATTATCTTCTGATTAAGAAATCTGTATGGCAATCACTGTTGGCATGGTATGGCGAACCTCGTCATAAGCCTATCTAATTACATTTTGAATGTGATGTGTAACCATAAGGCGATAAGGATAACACTGTTTTAAATAATCGCGAAGACAGCTGCAAAATAGAACTGTTGAAACGATACTTTTAGAGCAATGATATGTTTAGAGGTGCTGACGCATAACGATTGCTAATAAAGCTGAACACTGAAGCTGATGGTTCTACCTGCACTAGGAACAGACCAAGGTTGGCTGATGTTCAGCAGATCATATTCTTCTACCGGAGAACCTCCAAGGGCAACTGTAAACACCCGGATGTTGGGATAGTTAACGGCTTCCGCCTCCTCTTCCGTGGCATTGAAGGCCTGCATGAATAAACCACACCAGGAGATAAACGGTATTGATTGTGAGTGAAAGTATTTTATATATTCAATGTCAGTTTCTCACTAGTTTACGGTGCCAACAAGTTATCGTGATAAACAATATCTAGCAATATTCCTGTTTTATTCGCTAAGAGTGTGACATATCAGTACTTTATGAACCTTTACAGCGGAATGTCTCCAACATCACGAACCTCTGATGCAACTTACCATAGAAAGTGTAAACTGCATGTTGCTCTGACCCGAACATATCCAGACATCCCCAAACAACACATCTGTTAGATTGATGCTGCCCTCGCTAGATGTCGCTGTGATGTTGTAAGGGCCCCCGGCATCAATGGCAGGAAGTTGAACTGACCACACAGGAGTTGATGGGATAGGTCCAATAAAGGATGTTGTATTCACCTGACCCTTACCACTAATGGTCAATGTGATTGTCTCCCCTTCCTTTGAAGCATAACCCCATATAGTTGTCCTTTGGGGAGCCTTTTGAAGAACCATGTGGTCACCATAGTAACTGGCAAAGGAAAAAGGTTTGACTGCTGTTGTCCCTGAAATAGATATATGATAAAACTTGAAGTAATATCAGACAAGGTTGTCAAAACGTATGCCGCAACATAACCTACCCTGACACAATCCTTGGTAGGTCAGTTCATTCAAAGCAACCGTACTTATCTAAGGCATATCCCAATATTGATTAAAGTCATCATTTCCACAGCTTAACATCGACTTATGATAAAATAAGATAAGATACGATAATGCTTTATTGCCCGAAAGGGAATTTTGTGTACATCAGAGTTCAGAGACATAAGAAAACAACATTTAAGACACGAGCAGCAACAATGTCATTGAATGCATAGTAAACAACATTATTTATAAGACAAACATCTACCAATAAATATACTAAGAGAATAATGTTTAAGACTTGTTTAAGAAGGATATGCTAACTGGTATAAAAGAGTGTTTACTTCTCTTTGACTTTACATTTAGTAAAAGATACCTACAGCCAGATAGTAAAAGTGCATAACAAGGGTTTAAAACATGGGTTGGGTCTTGTAAGATTCTGACAGAAAAATTTAAAACTGATGACATGTACAGGTTGTCTAAAGTATCAAAATTACAACAAGCAATTTTTCCTGCAACTTTAACAATCCTCTTTAAAGTATAAAAGTGGAGCTTGGACTATTTTTTTCTGTTCGATACTGATGTTTTAGTTCATCTTAGCGTGTTTCCTGGCAGCGAGAATGAATGCAGGACAGGAATTAAAACGTCAACTACAGGGAATGACCAGTCTCGATTTTATACTGAAGCTGATTTTATTGGACGTAATATGACCACATTGTGTTGAAAATTGCATGAATGGAGCCCTGAAAATATTAATCAGTACTAGTACTAAATATCGTCCAAGCAGTCCCACGTAGACTGCCTTCACGTTTCTAAGAGTAAGAGCAAAGCTGTTTTCTAGAATGTTTTCTACAATGTCCTACTTTGAATTTTTAAATGTTCGATTCTGAAGGTGATGAGATGTTTCTTTGATGTAAGAACAAACCTACCTTCTACAGAAACCACTAGAACAACCAGGAGAACGATCCAACCAGCTCGTCCCATTTCTGCCGATGATACTGAACTGTTTCAAAGGGCAAGGACGCATACTATTTATAGGGGATATTGCCTTCCTACCCGTATCTTATCTGTAACCTAGAAACAAAGTGTGTTACCTACCTATAGCTACGTATATGGGTGTTACCAAAGTAAAAGTAAAAAAGTATGAAACTGCATCACCTTAGGAAAAGCAAGATATATGGATGTCAACTTCTTTATTGTGTATAACACGACTTTTCTGAGTGTATAATTGCTCCTTCAACAGGTGATGATTATTTTGTTTGATATCATGAGCAAGCATACACTCCGAAACGTCGTGTTATTCACAAAAGAGAAGCTGACATCCACAAATCATGCTTTTTTTTATGAATTCCATCAAATGCCCTTCAAATATTTGATCACCTTAGTTTACCTGATACAGGTGAAGTACTGTTTAAAGTGGTGTTAAACCCAAGTAGACACATGTGTTGAACCAGTCATTAACTCTGCAAGGTCAATAAGAGATTGGAGCAGCATTCGATGAGAGCAATGTTCATGTTTACAAACTGATATAACGAGAGGAAATGGGAAAGGTAATTGGCAGGAACTGTCAAAACCCTCAGACTACTGTTGGTGTTTTATCACTCTCTCAGAACACATTGACTTGTAATTAGATACGGTTATTGTACAGTGAAGGTACCAACGAGAAAACCTACCGTGAAATCGATGACATCACCATAGGCGGATCCAGAGGGGGGTTGGGGTTGGGATGCGTCCCCCTCCCTCCTTTTATCCAGAGGGTTTGTTAAATGACCATTGAGCCTCGGGCGGGAATGAAGTGTGCCCTCCCCTTTTTCTCAATAGCGTAGCGTCACACTTCCATAAAATGTAAAAATAAAAATAATGGTAGAAAAGACTATATAAAAAACGTTTCCGTTGATCCTGCCCCTGATCACTTTATAAAATGCCAGATGCTGGGTTTGCTTCAAATGACGTGACTCTCTCGCGAGATGATGAATGTTTGTGGTCAGAAGCCTCGGAGCCCTGCGTTGTGAAACCTTTGTGAGACACAGTTCATTCCTTAACCACAGTCTCAACAGTATTGGCTACATGGCGTGTGGTGATAGTGGTCACGTGTTTCAGCAACACTTTCCTAAGTGGTGACAGTTAACGGTTTCTCGATCTTGGACCATGTTGGCGGCACTCCCTTCCCTCTGGAACTCCGCTGGATAGATGCTGCAAGGAGCCTCATATCACCCCTAGACTACTTGAAGCTATTTTATGGCAGCGCAGGAGCCACGTTCCAGCAAAGATTACAGTCACTTTGATGCCTGCAGAAATATTACATTCTTATGTCCTGATTCAAATGCAGCCTACAAACACAAGCATTAACCACAATTCATGCAAATTGTTGAAAGGGTCCTTTACATGATTTATGGTGGACTCAGATATATACAGTCAAATCCCGATGAGTCGAATCGGTGGGGACCAAGTAATACATTCGACTTATCGATGAATTCGAGACATAAGTATGTCTATGAGGGTAGAAAAAAAGTTGATCCAGTCCTAATTCCTCCACCTAAGCATTTGTTTATCTAATGATTTCCCTATCACTTATAGGGGCACCTTATCAGTTCCAGTCTGATTAGCACAGGCAGTGATTTCCGTAAAATCACTAATCTGCCTTTTGAACTCACCCGTCAATGGTGGAAAGGTGTGAGCCGCGCTGGTTTGTTAATTGGATCAGTTTGCTACACCAATCAACTTCTCGTTGACTGACTTCGGCTTATGTATACACGATTGCTGTTGTTTGAATCTCATGGGACCAAAGTTCCTTCTCGAGTCATCGTGTGTATTTATGAGACGAATTCGTGTAACCGAAAATCAAATGATGACAACTATAACAGGGAATGGTCGGGACCGACAGGTACTTCGAGTTATGCATAATATTCGAGACACCGGCATTCGACTCATCGGGATTTGACTGTATTACGAGGCACTCTTCATCTAAGCCTTATCAACCAAAACATATGTCAACATATTTTTTCTTATAATACATTTTATTTCACAATTTTAACATTTGCCATATCATCAACAAAAGTTTCGATAAACGGTGGCGCAGGATAGCCACTCTGGCTGTTGTAGACTGCACACTGTTTAAAGGGACATGGTGACTCTCTCCAGCATAGCGTATAGCAGACACAACCTTGTTTTCAGATTCCAGACATATTTGGCTGTAGTTGAGGGTCACTGATGTGTTGTCATGTGACGTAATAGGCAAGGGGAACCACTCTGACGCATCCGTGGACGGAGAGGAACTGTTTCTGCATGTCACCTAAGTTATATAGACGCAAACGTACATTTATAGATGATCACCAGATCACTTTGCCGACTGCAATGTATTGTAAATCATATTATCTGGTATTAAAACAGCCCGTGTATCGACTGATTCACAGCAGGTGGATATTAATCTCAACTTTCTTTTCTCAACCATATGATCCTCCTACTTGTAAACCAACTATATCTCCAAACATCCAGTCAGATTCATCCTTGACCTGGACACTGAGAATATTCCTAACGTTTAGTTATGTACATATATCAAAGTGGAAGTTTACCGGGCAAAACTAATTTCAAAATACATCAAAATGTCGCTGGACATTGTATATCAAAACCCCTTGTTGCTTAGTCAGTAGCGAGGTTGGATACATCACATTTCTAAGCTTTCTAGCTGGTTACAGGTTCAATCCCCGGTCCAGCATTGGCTCAGCTGAAATGTGTTGACCAAGCCCAAACTGAAATAGTAGTTGTCACTGACCTCAAAGCCTGTTGTTGATCTGATATCAAGGGGTTTGTAAAACTCTATCGCCATGGTTCTTTGTTCGGTGTAGATTATGAACAGACCAGGGATTGGTCCGTCGAGTACAGAAAACTGACTTTGGTTGTAGGCCACAGCAAGTCCAGCTGTACACAGACGCATAGACACATCCTCTTTGTCACGGGGATGGACACTGAAAGTACATACAACAGTGTGAACTGCACGTTTCTTAAAGACACTAACGATAATTGCAAGACTTTAAACAAGTAAAACGATATACCCTGTGTATGGAGAGGTAAAGTCAGGCAGATCCATGGCCACCGCCATGAAGGTGTTCTTCATCCTGTCGTTGGGGACGTAGCCGTAGTCAGCTGTCTGGTGCCACCGAATATCTGTGAAGCCTGTAGTAATGGTGTCATTGTCCCTCCATGGAGCAAGCTGCATACAAACATATCAGACGTTATATCCCCATAATTCACATTAAAATCTTCATCACGTCCAACCAGTGGCTAAAATGAACTGTTCATGTATACAATGGCAGTAATTTAAAAGAACACCTGATGAATATACAACAATAATGTGTGAATGTCTCAACCTCCTATGTGTTACAAGGAAATGTTTGACCTTCTAAAAAAATACAGATAAATGGGACAAAACCAAATAATCATAAGATATCGCTAGATATGTCTATTGCCCGATTCCAACTATTCTTTTACTTCTAGTTCTGGTTCGTAAAGCAATGGAGGGGACTTATAGATGGCTATATGACCATATCTGAACATTATTAGATCATAGACGACAGAAATATCAGTTATAATAACATGTTGAAGTTCACACAGACTGACCGTCTGTTGTCTTTGTTAGGATATATGTAACTGTGAACGCTGAGCTTAACAGCACATAGATCAAAACTGTTATGACCTGTCACCACCCTCAAGTATCTTGTACAATATTAATGTATCTCACCTGTACAAATCCAAAAGGAAAGACTGGGTCTGTTTGTCCTCCTGATGCTTGATGAAACCTGTCTCTCCAGTCATCTATCATGGCGGGGAACGTACAGTTGTACTGGTTCATTGTTGGAGACCGAGCATTGGCTTCACCTGGTCACAGAATATTGAAATATTCGCAAACGGTAAAACACACACTAATTCATTGTTCGGTCTATAGGTATTCCATTGACTCTTTTGGGTCATCGACCACGTTGCTCTGTGATCCACTGGCTTCTCCTGGACACAGAAGAGTGATATACTGATTCATTGTGTCCTGTTGGACTATTGATTCATTCCATATAGTTACTCTATAGTTCTTTGCCTGGTCTTCACGTGGTCCATGGTTTCTCTTCATTGCGACCGATAGTGACATGGTCACATGGATTCAGGTTTTTCATATCTGGGTGCTACAACCTTGACGTTGGTATGTTCTTGTATCAGGTGGCCTCCTGGATTCAGAGTCCAGGTTACTCTCCTGTAGTATAAGCCCTGACAGTGATCTATCCAAAACACACTCACCTCCTTCTCTTTAAATAATATCCTCGATTCCATGAACACATTGGATCAACATATGCATATTCATTTCTTCTCTGTAAGGTAGCAATGAGATGTGAAATGGAAATTTTTAACATGTATTCCTTCAACCGTATAAAAATCTAATTAATTTATGTTAAAAAATCTGTTTTGTACCTTGATACCAGAGGGCTCCATATATGGTCATGTTGACGAAGGGTCGCATCATGGCATTCCACAGAACAGAAGCAGCATTAGGGTTCACACTCGACACTTCCTTAGCCTCGCTTACACCACATTTCTTGAGGACATTGGGAGCTGACCACGCTTCCACTCGGGTTCCTCCGTATGATGATGCTATGAGGCCGATGGGGTATTTGAGATGCGACGACAGGTACTTGCCATATAACCAACATACTCCCGAAAAGTAAGACCAGTCCGGACCGCCAATAGTAGCTTGATAGCAGGAAAATACTGTTTTAGACATTTACTTTGCAATTTGTAGGTTAAAAACACAAAGATGGTTTGAATGGACATTGGCGTATCAATCTGTGCCAAGGTTTTAGCACGCCAGTCAGGTCAACCTTTATTTCTTTTGTAGTGGAGGCCATAGACCATCTCGTGCCAAGGTTTGAAAACAACACAGAGTGACCACACTAGCTACAGATCGGAACGCCCCACTCGTGGCCATAGCGTTTTGTGGCAGGAACACCAGCATTGAAACTACATCTTCAGAACATGTGACCGTGAACGTGCTTCGTGTCATCCTTGTATCAATCAAAGTGCACGAAATATGCACAGTTATTTGAACACAGTAAAAGTTTTCAATGTTAGTCTATACTTACCTATTTTGACAATCACAGTATAAAGCTCAAGGAAGCTTGTGATGGACAATGTCCACAGAATATCATTGTGTATGAGGTGTGCAACCTGAATAGTCAGTTTATGGGAGGAATATTATGTTTCATATATAATAAGTGAAATCATGCAAGAATGGATCTCGTGACACCCTTTAAGACAACAGCAAAGGTAACCTATTAAAACAATATGTTTCGGGCAATGATATGTTTAGAAAGGTGCTGACAGATAACGACTTCTAATGAAGATGAACACTGAAGCCGCTGCTTCTACCTGCACTCGGAACAGACCAAGGTTGGCTGATGTTCAGCAGATCATATTCCTCTACCGGAGACCCTCCCAGAGCAACGGTAAACACCCGGATGTTGGGATAGTTGGCGGCTTCTGCCACCTCTTTCGTAGCATTGAAGGCCTGCATGGATGATACCAAAATCAGGAGATACACCACTGTGTTACCACTTTAAAGATTCCAAACACAGATTTCACACAGTTTTAAATTGTATTGATTGTGACTTTCAAATATTCAATATAAGATTTTCACTGGTTTCAAGTGACAACCACTATAAACAATAAACAATAATAAGCAATCTTCGGACATTGATATCTCATTCCTCATGGGTTTGTCAGATCAGTCTCAAACATCACGAACCTCTGATGCAACTTACCATGGAAAGTGTAAACTGCATGTTGCTCTGACCCGAGCATATCCAGACATCCCCAAACAACACATCTGTTAGATTGATGCTGCCCTCGCTAGATGTCGCTGTGATGTTGTAAGGGCCCCCGGCATCAATGGCAGGAAGTTGAACTGACCACACAGGAGTTGATAGGATAGGGCCTATAAAGGACGTTGTAGTCACCTGACCATTACCACTAATGGTCAATGTGATTGTCTCCCCTTCCTTTGCAGCATAGCCCCATATAGTTGTCCTTTGGGGAGCCTTTTGAAGAACCATGTGGTCACCATAGTAACTGGCAAAGGAAAAAGGTTTAACCGCCCCTGTCCCTGAAATGGATGAATGATAAAATGTTACGTGATTGTTTGATTTGGCCTGAACGAAGGAGGTGTAACAGAGAAGTATGTCAATAAAACAAATCACTTTTAACACCCGCTACATTACTTGCCGTTCTACACATGTAAACAACATCCTGGGGTCTATATCTACGGCTTAACATCGACCGATTTTCATTGAGTTTGGATTATCCTCCGAAACAGATTCCATCTGGTGAAAAAGGCAATCGTAAAACTTTTCGGAATGGATCATTTAAAATCAAGAAATTCAAACATAATTCAGGGCTGACATCCTTTAGGTTCCAAAAGTTTTAATGTTTCATTTGTAGTGGCATGTATAAGAGCCTTCATCTTTCAAAGCAGTGCATTCATACATTGAAACCGGAAATTGCTCAATCGCGTTTGTGCGGTTGCTCACCCAGACGTGTTAATAATGATGGTAAACCTACCATCTGCTGTATGAGCTGCCGGTACAACCCAACTGATGGCAATCAGGAGAACTAGCCAGGCAGTCCGTTCCATTTCTGTGGCCTCTCCAAAGTCAGAACCTGTGTATTTATAGAAGGCATTATCTTCGTATATCTTATCTCTAACCCAGTAAACCAAATGTATTATCTCTTGAAACAGTAGCTTCTCCAGAGAAGAAAACCTCATTATTATGCACGTGGTACCTAGTTATCGTAAACATTTGTCAACAAGAAAGGTCATTATTTGTCAAATGAAATACAGTGGGGACATAGCGAACCATCAGTCCAGTGGTGTTGGGAAGACCTCCTTTGAATACCTAGGATCTGCTACACGAGGAGCCAAATCCAAAATTTTCCAGTATTCACTATCATACCTAAGGATATTCATGGTACCAGAGTATAGAGGTCCATAACCCGAGTCACGTCAACTTACGTACTGTGATACAGATGATTCACTTTACAAGATGGTGTTTCCCAACTATCTGTCCATTACTGAAAGTAAGGAAATAGTATATACACCTAGCCTAGGTATTACAGAATATATCTTACCATCTACCGTCAATACCAATGTATTTTGTTTATCATTTGTCAACACCTTCTGTAATTATCTGGGTCAGTGGCGTTTCATGAAATAAACAACCATTCACATTCACACTCATCTATAAACCCAGCATACTCTACCCAAGCAGGTACACTACTCAAGGTTTGCAAATGTTTTGATCATATAAAAAAATAATACACCGAAATGTTTTTTGAAATATCACTGTGCATAAATTTTAAGATAAACTGACAGTCATGACGCCATGCGTACCATGTGTACATGGTTTCTGTGTGTGGATGTTACGTGGCAGAACTGTTGCACATCATTATCGTGGAGCACAGCAACATTTGCCTCTGATGAATGGTACAGCTGAATGCATTTAAGCCATAAGATTGGATGTACTATACCACTTGCAAAAAGGGCTCAGAAATGTCGAGCCACCCTTCGTATATGAAGTAATAGCAATAACATATATCAACATTTTATTCATTTGAAATCAAATTTGGACATGGCATATATAATACAATGGACGAAGGTGGAGCAGGATAGCCATAATGCTTTCGCAAATACTATACTGTTTGAAGGGACTCTTTGCAAGCATACCGCTTCTCGCTGAGCCGACAAAAGAGACAGGTATGTCTGTCGGGATTGAAGATGACGTCAATTGGGCAGGCCAGGGCTGGCCTCAAGAACGTTATACAGATGTGCCAGACACTGTCCAGATTTCAAATATTGAGGTGCCTCAGACGGGCGTAGATAATCAAAACGATTTCAGAATTCCTACCAAGTCGGACATGGAGGCTCAATCAATTTTGGTTGGGGTCAGTCGAGCTCCAAGGACCAATCTTCATGATGGACACAATGACAGGTGTGAGCTGCAGAGTGGCATTCTGGATGTGTACGTGGACCTTGGGTTGGTGGTAAACTGCAGATCGCTCTCTTACGAAGCCCTGTCCAAAAACTCTACAGGAAACCGACAATGATCTTACTGAAAAGTGGGCTACCACCCAGACCCATATACATGCTACTGAATGTAGAATTGTTCTGGTTGTTTAATTTTCTGTATCTCATTACGTCATCCAATTTCTCGTAATTTCACTATTTCTCGTAATTCTAATTATACGATTTTGCCTTATTTTCTTATTTATATAATACTGCAAATATTTTTTTCATTAACAAGAAAAACTCGTTTCGAATATTCCAAGAAATACACTTATGATTAAAACAACAAGAAATTACAATTTCTACAAAATATTTGGCACCATTAGGCTTCCGTATAGAGTAGCTGCCAAGATCTGAGCGGTACTATGCTGAATTGATTTGTTTGCTAATATTGTTCAGCGTAGATCTCCGTGAGGTGCACACATTTCTGACGACTCAGGATCCCACTGTTGTAGAATGCTTCCTGTTCCTCCACGGCATAAATTACATCAACATCATTTCCACATTGCTTGGTAGAGAGTCCGTTCTTCAAGTTTGAGAAGAGACGGCATTCGGGCGGTGTCGGCTATGTTGAATGTGGAGCACTTTAGTAAGGTCAAAGTCACAGTCATGCATTGTAGCCACGGTGACAACAGACCTATGCAACGATGCATTTCCCTGGTAGTATCACTCACCTTAGTAAAATTTGCATATATATACTTATATATATACACACAATTTATACTCTCACGAATTACCTGAACAGATTAGCGGGCATTAATGTTCTGACATTCATGGAGGTAGTCCAACAGTAAGATTTGTTGGAACCCGTGAAATCGATGGCATCACTTTGCCAATTGATAGAAGAGACTTTTACTTCATCAAAGAGACTGATAAAGGTGAACCCGGAACACACCAGAACATCATCACCAGATAGGAGAAACTTGTGTCACGCCTAGTTCATTTCTCAGCAAGTTCTCAATGCATTGGCCATGCGTTGTGTGGTGAGTCGCGATCATCTATATTCTATCTACTTTTCCCCTTGTGGTGGCAGGTAATGATCTTGTTCATCTTCAGGGCGCTCCTTCCACTTGGAGCTCCTCTGCCATGTTCTTGATAGTGACAGAGGAAGGACCGTTTAATACTCCTTAAACCCTCTCAGTTTGAGAAGCTTCATGACGCGTGAGACTAGTATCAACAGAGAATACAATCTAGGCACTTTGAGGCCTGCAGAAATATGTTATACCTGATTGTGTTCTGAATCAAACGCAGTCTGTAAGCTGGGCACGTGTTACACGCAATGCATGCAAACTGTGAAGGGTGTACTATACTTGATTTATTGTGAGCTCAGAAACTTTGAGCCTCTCATCACATATGTATAAGTAACAAACAAACATATGTCAGCCTTTCATTCCTTGCATATTTTATTGTACAATTTTAACATTTGGCATACCATGGAGAATACGTTGGATAAAAGGTGGCGCAGGGTAGCCCCCGTTAATGTTGTGGACTGCACACTGTTTAAAGGGACATGGTGACTCTCTCCAAGCATAGCGTATTGTAGAGATCACCTTGTTTTCAGACTGCAGACATATTTGGCTGAAGTTGAAGGTCACTGATTCGTATCCGTGTGACGCAATAGGCAAGGGGAACCACACTGAGTCTTCGGTCGGAGATGAAATATTTCTGCATGTCACCTGAAGGTATACAGACGCAGACTTAAATGTATGAACTATCACCAGAATCACTTCTCACTGCAATACATTGTAAATCTAAACATCTTTACTTAAACAGCTGACTTATGGATTCACAATATGCGGATACTAACATCAACTTTCTGTTGTCTGAAACTTCACCTCTTGTACAGTGTTAATCTGCCGCTGTTTGAAAACTGAACGTTCCGACACGCTGCCAGTTTACGTGTGTGAATTATTGTGTGAAAAGAACACTAGCATTGGTCAGGTCACGCCAAAATCGCACACACCATCATCTCCAAACATCCAGTCAGATCTACTCTCCATCTGGACCCTCACGAAGGTCAGAAACGTCCGTTGGCGCATCATCTGTAGCTGCCCCCCTAGGTGCTCTCCAGGGAGTCGTTATACACCCAACCATGCTTCAGTGTTTGGATGGAATTCAACAACTCTTCCAACTTTGTTTTGGCCCTATAGCTTCTGGACGACATTGACAAAATTAAAAACATTCAAAATATAATTTGTACTAAATAGACAGCAGTGGTCTCTGACCTCAAAGCCGTTTGTTGATCTAATGTCGAGGGCTGCGTCATAGTCTATCTCCATTGTTCTTTGGTTTTGGGAGACTAGGAAATATTGAGGAAAAGGTCCGTCGCTAAAAGTAAACTGACTTTGGTTGTAGGCCACCGCAAGTGCAGCTGTACACAGACGATGACCTATATCCTGCTTGTCCCTGGGATGGATACTGAAAGTACATACAACAGTATAAAATGGACATTTCCGAAGGATTGAATATTAGTTTGAAATTCTTTTGTCAGAATACATTGATATACAATACAAGTACTGTACAAAAATATACTGTCATACCCTGTGAATGGAGAGGTAAAGTCAGGCAGATCCATGGCCACCGCCATGAAGGTGTTGTTCATTCTGTCGTTAGGGACGAAGCCGAAGTCAGCTGTCTGGTGCCACCGAATGTCTGTGAAGCCTGTAGTAATGGTGTCATTGTCTCTCCAGGGAGCAAGCTGCAGACAATTCAGAATTTATCTCCAGATTTTAGGGTAAAATCTCATGCAGACAATGAATAGAATTAATTGTTCATTTATACAACAGAAGGGCCTATAATATTGTCCGAACTTACAAATAATGAATACTGTGAATATTGATCAATTTGATTTATTGTCTTTTCATTGAACAAGGTTTATAAACATATTTAGATATCTTGAAAATTAGAAATATGTAGGAATCTTTCCAGGATAACCAAATTTAAGGGAACTTGTTCACATTTTGTGTGAATGTATAATTCTCAAAACCAGCGATGAAATATGCAAGGATAATGTGTCAATACCTGTACGTATCGACCGTTTGCGTGTTATAAGGAATAGTTTGACCTACATTCTAAGCAATCATAAAAACGACCAAAACATTTCCATAGTCTCTTGGTCATAACACATCTTTGCGGAAAACTTAGTCCATTGTTCCGATTATATCATGAGGATGTGTTTATAAAGCACTGTCGCATAATGATGATATCATATATTTGAAAAATAGAACACGGGAACATATATGAATACAAGCCCAATAAAGAAATTGCATGGGACAAGTTAAATGTGGAAATGTCGTCCATCTGTCTACCAAAGTACTTTTTCAAAGCTTTGCTCACGCCTTGCATTTTGTGACGTTGATCACGTTACTGGAACATTACTTGAACGTTGACGATAATGAAGTCATTGAAGTCATGTATATTGTAAAAATAATTGTGAACATTTTTATCACTCAATCTTTAGGCATTGATCAAAATTTATAACTGTTAAGGCTGTTTTACTGCCCGCTTACATTCCTGGTTCAGGCAAGTAAATCAGGGGAAGGGAGCTGACATTAAGTGCTATATTGCTTTTATTGAACAATTTTATCAAATCG